GAAAGGTAGGACTCGAGAGGACTCGAGTCCCAACTATATACAAGTCTGGTTCCATGCTGAACACTTCCTGATCCTGGGGGACCGACACCCAGGACGTCGGTCCATCGCCATGGACCGCCCTTGGCACCGTCGGTCCTGTCGATTGATTGATTGATTGATTGATTGATTCCTACACGGTTATGAAGCCGCTCTTATGCTAGCAGCTATGCCCGGAAAGCGGGGTTTGGCAGACAGCCGAAGCATCGACGATAAACCGCGACGCCCCACTTCGCCCTGTTGTTGGATCAGGACCAGCTGTCCCCAAGCTCCCACTATGCTATCTATTCTTGTGTGTTTATGCCCTCTGTTGAAGATTGTTGTCCTCCTGCCTGCTCTCTCGCTTGGTGTTGCCTTCTAGAATCCTTCTTTCGCGTCCTCCTACTTCGGTTCTGTTGGTGCTAGGCACCATGTCTGGTTCTGTATACCTATAGTCTCCCCCCAGCCCTCAGCTTCGTCTCTTTATCTTGTCCGCATCCTCTCAGACTCGCATGTGCTATATCTCAGTTGAATCTGTAAATCTTTTTGTTGCCTCATGCTGGGTTCCTATGTGGCTCTATGTTTCCATCTTTCGACCACCACCTCCATCCACCGCCTGGAGTCGGACTCAATCCGCAAAACACAATGCTCCAACCGCTTCGATTCGTCCGATTACTAAGTATGAGAGCTCGTACACAGATTCCGCAGACATTGTCATACGTTGAAGGGGCGACAATCCTTCTTCGCGGAGGGGGCGACAGGGGACCAATCTGTCTGCAAACTGTAGTATTTTGTGGCATCGATCGTAGCATGCCTGGTGTCTGGTGCTTTCTCTATGCAGGAGGTGATACCGTTCTGTCGGGCTTGTCGTCGTTGTTGTCGCGGGACGTTGCAAACTTTGTCGGGGGTGATAGGCGACCCATAACCTATCGGTGGCTGTGGTGTTGATGTTTGTTTGGGCTTGGTCGTTGTGCTCACGTGATAGCCCGTGACTCAACCGCGGTGGTGTCGATGGTGTTGTCTATTGACGTGTCATACTTTGTGGCTTGCTCTCGAATTTTTCGTGGTCAGAGCCCGCCCGCGGCCACGAGCAGGCTCTTTGGGAGCAGAATCAATGCCGAGGATGACATTATGCCCAAAGTGACCTCTGAGAGCGCGAGCGGGCGTGGTTTGATCAATTTGATGCTGTTTTCAAAAATTTCGTTCTCGCTGTTGTTGATGTTTTTTTCATCCGTCGGTCCTGTCCCAGGACCGCTTATCGTCCGTCGGTCCTGCTTATCGTCACGTGACCTGTATCCTAGTTCTTCCGTTCCGTGGGGGTTGTTACGACGTAACGGCTGACGGCCGTCCCTATAACCGCTGAGCCCCTGCGGGGTCGTCGTCAGTGGTCTGTTAACTGTCGGGTCGTAACACTTACTATAGCTAGCCGGCTACGTATTAACCTTACCCCTTTTCAATCTATTATTACTAAAAAGTTCTAAAATAGCTAGACTTATTTTAATATAATTATATATCTTTCTAAATCATTTTAAATTTAGGTCTTTCTATTAATATTTAAACGTTTCTTATAAAGCTTAAACCTCCGCCGCGAAGTCCGTACAGAATTTTCCAGCGCCTTACTACAACGTATCTTCCAGCTCTTCTTTGATCATAGGCTATCCGATTTAGATATTCTTTTATGCTTACGGACGGAAGGCTTCACAGTCTCACAACGTGGCTTAGAAGATATTCGAAAATGCTATAAACTATAGCGCCGTCAAACCCCCGAGTAGCTTTAAGCAGTATTTTACTAAGCTATAAACTTCCTTGCCTTTATAATAAGTAATAAAGCACGCGTTATATAAGACTTTAGCCGAGAATTCCTCTTTATATATATATGCTAACATAGCTATATTATTAGCCGCTTAGTCTTATATAAAGCATATCGTATAGTTTTTCCCGAGGAAGTTATAAACCGACTAAAAGAGATCCGATACCGGCGGAAAGGTTAGACTATGCTAGGTCTAAACTTTATATAGTTACTCGATATATATAATAAACTACTTCCGTTTAGGTTTAAGATATATACTAGCATTGATATATACTCTCGTTATATTATATAGTTTTACGTTAGGTTTTCTATATATACGGCTTGTTTTATATTAGCTTAATATCTATCTATACTTTTATTACGAGGTATTATATTATAAACTCTTCGTTTAGACTATAGTATAGAAACTATCTTAACTATTAGTAGTTATTAATATCTATTATAAGACTATATAAAAAAAGCCTTTTTATAGCTAGGCTAAGACGTTCCTATTTAGTTTTATAACTATTAGATCTTTAGTAAAAGTATTTATAATATTAAGATTAAAAGCTAGTAGAACTAACTTTGTTAAGCATAGTCTATAACTTAGAAAGTACGTATTATTTACCTTTATATCTATTTATTTACTAATAGTATTAGGCATATTTCTATCGATTATAAGCGTTAGGTTTATTTTATAACTAATCGCTTTCTAACTATATTGCCTTATTATTTATCTTTATACTACTTATCTATAAAGACTTTACTTTTTTTATTTAACTTTAGAATAACTATTATATTTGCTTATAAAAAAGTCGCCTATATATTGTTTCTAGTTAACTATAGAAACTTTCTTATTATCTAGATTATTAAACCGTATAAGACTTTGCTTAGCTAATCGATTACGTAAAGATTTAAAAACTTTAAAACTTACTTAGAAGTAAAGAACTTAATTTAGATTAATTCCTTCCGTACGAAGTCTTTTAAGTTTATAAAGGTATTATAAAGCCTATATAAACCTTTCTACTAGTTATAAACTTCTATAGTATATAATATCTACGTATTAAAGTATATAACTTCTTATAGTAACGTTTTAAAAAATATATTAAGGCTAGGATTTAATTAAAACTTTACTTACTATTAAAACAAAATAAAAGTATTAAATAGGTAAAAGAATAGTTTCGTAGCTATAGGATTAGTATAGATAAACTTTATATATTATTATTAAGAAGTAATAGTAGTTTAGAAATAGATAAAACTTAAGTATATAGAGTATACCTAAACGATTATTTCCTTTTATTATACTACTATTTCGTTTTTTTCCTTATCTTCCTAGCTACCCTTTTTAAAAGTTATATCCTCCTAAATAACGTCTATATAGCCTTGTTACTTAACTTACGAGTACGTATGCTTATATAACTTTATTCTTTCTCTTTCTTACTTTATTACTTCTTATGCTTTAAGAGAAGGCTTTCGTTTAGTTTAAGTTTAAATTCGAGTTAAAGGTTTAAACGTAAGCGCTTTTATAAATATATTAATAATAAGTAAAAGTATTATATTAGTTATTACTATATTAAGCATATATTATTTTAGTCGTAACTTCTTTAATACTTATAGTTTAGTAATAAGTAGATCTACTTAACTTTTAGAAATAAGTATAATAGTATAAACGTTTCTATTAAAAGTAATTAAGGCTTTACGAAGAAAAGTAAAAAGGTTTTTAGCCTTGTATGCTACCTTACGAAACTTATATATATCCGTAGGATTCTTTAAAGTAATAGGTATTACCTTCTAGTTTCGGTTAAGGAATTACTTCTTAGAGGTAAACTTTACTAAGACCTTACTTATTATATCTATATATAAAGTAAACTTAGAAGTTAATAAGAACTATAACTTCTTAATAAACTTTTTAATAAACTAAACCCGAGTATATATTCGAATAGAGATTCTATCTATATCCGTAATATAAAAAGATATAAGCTATAGGTAAATAATAATATCTATAGTTAGGTTTAGAACTAGTTTCTTCTAGGTTTGCTAGATACTAGCTATACGCTCTTCTAAGCCTTTAATAAGAGTAGTAAGGAGACTATTATCTAGCTATATATCTAGTATATAAAGTACTTATTCGATCGGGTTAGTTATAGTATTAGAAAGTCGTATACGTAATGAAATCGTAGCTGTTAGAGTTTCGAAGTCGTTAGTATTTATAAGGTCGATTTTGTCTAGTTCTTATACTTAGGATAAATCGATTAAACAAAATACATACGTCTTCTACTTCTATAGTAGTTTTACTAAGAAGTAGTCTAGGTTAGCCTGCTTAAGGCACCTTAAAAACATATTCGTATAAAATATAGTAAATATTATTATTAAGAATTAAGAATATACTCCTATACGGTTTCGTAAAACTCTATATATGTTGAATGGGCTCTCTGTACGATCGTACTGTCATAAATGTAGGGTGAACCAAAGATTCTATTTTCCGTGATTACCTTTCCTAACTAGATGTTGCCTTCCGTACGAACAGATATATCTCTGTCCATACCTAGACACGAGTCGTGCATGACAGGTAATAAACCATGATCCCTTCCTCAGACATTTAGGTGTTACAGGTGCTAGTCATGCCACCTATACACCCCTTTGCCTGTGACAGCCTTGTCGTACGGTCATGTGATTATCGTTATTCCAACAATATATATATATATACGAAATATAGAATTCGCTTAAATTTGTAATAATTACATAGTAAAGATAAGAAGCTTAACTATCTATACGGGTAGTATATGCTTATCTCGTTTATGCATCCTAATTAGGCAATGTTTGAATTTTGACCCAGTGCGCCCTGCGGACTGCCGTAGTCCACCCTGATTTCTAGCATTTTCGCATCATCAATACCCATTCTCCGCGGACTCCTGTAACAACCATCTTTTGTTGCCACGCTGGCAGTCTGCCGAATACCTGTTCTTGGACCTCAAAAATTGCTGGTAGAAACTTTTTGACACGAGACTAACTTCATTTCATTGGAAATTGACGCAGGAAGTGTCAACATTGCGACGTTACTTGTTCTGGGATTATCATTAATTATGGTCAAAAACAACTGCATCCGTGGGGCATCGGTCATGGCCTAGCCCGCCTACCAAATCTATCTGTTGTTGCCTACACAGTACTTCTCTTAAATCCTTGGCCTGTAGGCCAATCAACTGGTGTAGTGCCACTTCACCTCTTCCCACCCTTCCCGTCTCTCGATCTTGACGCCGAGACCTTCACCGTTGCCAACAGGTCTGACGATAGAGCTAATCAGTGTACAACGGTCCATTTTGACCGGCTCCGTGGTGGGCCTCATCTCTTTATCCAACAGTGTGACATTGAAACCGAGCACCAGAGACACCATGAGTCCCATGGTTTCTGCAAACGCGAAGTTGCGGCCAGGACAAAGGTGCTTGCCACCTCCGAATGGCACAAATGCAGCCTTTCTTAGCTTCTCTGCTTCATCATGCAACTTATTGGGTTTGGATTCGACAAATCTGTCCGGCATGAACGTTCCCCAGTCTGGTCCCCAAGCCCTCTCCAAGCTGTGGCAGACTTCCTGCGACATCTCCACGTTGCAACCCTTTTTCAGGAGGTATGACCTTCCATTACCATCCGAGATAGTGGTATCCTCCAATACTCGGCGATGGGATAGTCCCTTATTGCAAAGTCGCATGGACTCGCGATAGCAGCTCACGAGAAGGGGACACGTCTCGTCCAGCTCGCTGATATCTATCGTGACATTGTTGTTCGCTCGCTGTGCTATGGGCCCCACTTCTTCCCGAAGAAGGGAAACCAGTTCCGGATGGGTAAACACCTGCGTCATAAACCAGAAAAGTGCCGGGATTGTGTTGGTCACTGCAACGTGGAGCAGGACAATCTCAATATCGCCGGTTTTGTTTTCGGGAATACCATGTTTCCTTAACGCTGCGGCACGGTTCTTGGTGATTTGTGCAGCATCGGCGTGAAGATGCTTGTTATGTTCGTAATACTTATTCAGTACAGCCTGAAGTCTGGTGCGTGCCTGGTAACACCTTCGTGCTGTAACTGTCGTAGCAACGCCGAACATGAGCCAGGCTAGGCCTTCATCAAATGTCCTATATAGTTGTTAGCCCATCCTACATATCACATGTGGGCAACTCACCAAATTTCCTGAAGCAAACTGTCATCCTTTCTGAACGGGTTGTCAGGTCCATATAATGCCTGCGTAGTGGCCAACGTCATTAGATTTCGGACCCATAGATATGAATTTGAAACCTCAAGGGGTTTGTCGATGCGGATCTCATCCAAGGCCCCGGATATATATCCAAGGGCGTTGGCATTCATCCGTCGTACATTCGTCGACGTCATAGCTTGATGCATTGCTTCAAATGTATCATGCACCATGGTTGTAGTTTGCAGAAGCTTGAGAAAATCATTGCCGAAACCCAATTCCCTTTGCGAGAATTCGAGACTGAACGGCTCCATTGACAAATTCTTGTTCTTGAAGACGGCCTGTACCAGCAAGGGATCCCAGACGGTATACAACTTGCCGTTCAGAATGGGTAGCGTGGCAATTGGCATGTTCTTTTTCCTGAGGCGAATGAGCTTTTGGGCGAGATGCTGTCTGATGTAACTCACTGGAGGATCTTCATGTAATGGGTCGGATTCCGGAGCATGCCCAACAGATGGCCGATGAAGGGAATTGTAGGTTTCAGCGTAGGCGGCTCGCCATCTTCAATCTTTGGAGACGCAAACCTGTTCACGATCATGAAGAGCGTGAAGAGTCCAGCGAATGAGGCGTACAGCACTGGCGGCACATGGATGTCAGTAAGAGAGGCTAGGAAGACCCCTGCCCGCGCTGTCCCATTGCCCGCCATGGCGTCAGGTTCGCCGCTCAAAGAGCCACTCGTCATGGTCGTTCGTGCTCAAAATGGTTGTCTTTGGAAAAGCTCAAAAGCAATTGTTAGAAAAGATAAAGAGTTGAAAAGCTGGACGCGTGGTTGCCCTGGGTGCGGGGTGTCGCGTCAAACATGCCAGACGCAGGTCTCACCCTTGGTGTCATAAACATTCCTAGTGGGCTGAAATCCAAAAGAGGACGGTGCTTCACATTTAAGAGGCACTAAGCGCCAGTTTTCCGCTTAATTGTTCGTTTTTCTCTTGATCAAGGTACGAGAGGCTATCTCTTCCATTAAGTTGTCAACAGCTGCTCCATTTCAGCTCGAGAACCTGAGACCTCGGCGGCTGGCAGTCAATTTACCAAATTACGTTAGCTATAATAAGATATACTCTCAGTCCTATAACCTATAAATTATGTTTTACTGCCTCTTTTGACAGCGACTTGTTACTTGCGGACTCGTATGGCTCGAAGATAAACAGTGAGGAGGACAGATTGCAAAGCCAGAGCAATGGCCCCAAGTTCTAGACGTGGTATTTTAAGACAGAGTGTAGACTATCTTCTCAGCGCTAACCGGGAGCTGGCCTTTTACATGTCCACTACCACCCAACAGAGGAAAGCCCTCAGGCACGATTTTTTCCAGACCCCCTGACATTAGGCGAATAGGATTTGGCTGCAATTTGACATGGCCTGAGGATGCTCCGGAGCCGAGATAGTTGTAAAACTCCGTTGTGAATTTGCGTGCTTCAGAGTTGGCCGGAATGGTTGCACCTAATAGCGAGAACGCCAGTCAGTTAAGCATCTATGTAGGGGCGGTGTGCTCATGAGCTAAATTGACGAGGACAAGCAAAACCAAGCCCTTACCTTGATACAAGATCTCTACCCCTAAACCTTCCCAAACCGCACCAATGACAGGCTTAATCTTCAACTTGGAAACATCGAACCCTCCAAGAACTGGACTTCGGAACACAGCAAACTTTCCATTTTCCGCCAGTGTACTCTCAACCAACTCCACAGACGGACTTTTGGAGAACGCGTCGATGGCAAATTGAACACCCTTCCCGCCAGACGCATCTCTCACTTTCTGAGGCCAGGAGGGATCTCGATAGTCAACAAGAATGTCATAGCTGTACGGCTCCTCCTTCAATAGGGCAGCCTTTGAAGTGCTCGCAGCGCCAATGAGATGAAATTTTACCCCCGATGCCTCCTGGGATAATCTGACCAACTGCGCAGCATAAAGTCCAAGAGACGTGGTGGCACCGTATACAAATACGTTGACGACCTGGTTGCCAGCAAGGTCAAGGCCTGAGAGGCCTTCTGTTTCGAAGAATGGACAGGGGAGTTGGAGACGGCTGAAGACGCCCTGAGCTGCTGTAAGTCCGCACAGACTTATGGTGGCGGCGCCCTCGAAAGACATGCTGGCGGGAATGTTCCATGTTAAATCGTAGTCCACGGCGATGTATTCCGCGAATGCGCCCGGTCGATCATTGACGGAGCATGCTGTGATCGGAATGTAACGTTAGCAACAGCCAAATCTAAGTTTTGCTCGGAGAAGTCCCTAAGAGAATAAGACAAAGTCGGACTTACCGCCCTGAACGAACCCAGCAACCTGTGTTCCGATCTTGGTTCGAGGATCATCTAGTCCAGTGATTTCTGAGCCAACGCGAACGACCTCGCCTGCAAAGTCGCTACCGACTACCCGGTAGTCTTGTACAGCGACGGGGTTGGCAGTGTAAAGGGCGTCGACATGATTGAGGGCCACAGCGCGGACGTGAACAACAATTTCACGCGGGCCAGGCTTCGGCGTGGGGATGTCCTGGACGGCGACAGAGCGTGTCTTTGGAGTCAGGGTTAAAGCTTTCATGGTGCTGTTGCCAGAGACCGTGTTGACCGGACGATTGTCTTTTGGAGCGAGTTTCTTAGGCTTGAAATCGAACCTGTTTGCTTCTCTTGGCGAAAGCTCAACTGCTTGCGCAAATGTTGTGTTCCGTTTATCTCATCGCTGCCTTTATATAGCTAGCATGACATAGCCTGTTAATTCTGCCTTTTAAATACCCCTTCAGCGCAGTAGCACGACTTTGGGAGCAAAACGGTGGACTTAACCGGAGTTAGTATACAGTATTTCCTGGCAAAGAAAAGACTGCTATGGTATTAAAGCTATGATGCTGGATCATTCATACCATATTTGGAAAACTGAAGCATCCGTCACACATTGGATGGCTGGTGGGTCGCATGCACGCCGTAACGCTTACTCGTTACGGTTTAGTGAGGTCCGAAAGTGAGCAATGTCGATTGCGCCGCCACTGCCACAAATAAATGTTGATTGGGTACGAGTGATGCAGTTGGCTCAGACTATTTGACGAGACTCTTTGTTTGAAATTATCTTTCTTTGGTTTCGAGGTGGGCGGTAAATGAACAAAGTAGTGGGTGAAAGTATAACCGGAAGAGCTTCAAATGGCTTGCGGCTCTGGCAATACCGGCAAGAAGGCTATCGGCAAGCTGGTCGGTAATAAAGGGGGGGTTCGATCCTGAGTTGAGAAGAAAAACTACTAACATCATTCATGTGACTTGCAGAACTGTGAGAGATCTGTAGGTTAGTCCGCGATAACTGAGTAATGCGGCTAAGTTATTGATATGGTAATTGGAATTCATATATTTCAAAAGGGCCTGACTTTAACAAATGACGATATTCCTCGTAAGATACTAAGGGTTGATTTCGCTACATACAGACCGTGCTAAAGATGTTGTCTCATGATGCAGATATTTGTTTGCGGTGCGCTAATGGTATCACCCATAATGCTCATCCAACTAGAAAGTATCTATTCTAGTATCATATACAGCCACCAAGCCCACGGATCTATGTGTAAGATGTAAAAGCAGGCGTACCAATTAGTTTGAATCACTGTGCGTCACTACCAGCAGTAGCAGTCGCATTGATTGTCGGACTTCCGCCTATTTCTGCATTAGTAAGAGTCTTGTTTAGGAAGAAAAAGAGCATGCCACCAGCCAACGGAACCCAGCCGTTGGTTCGAAGGAATGCACTGTGTTGAGTTAGCGCCTAAAACTGGAAGTGTTGATTTCACAGACTAACACTGTTACATCGTTGGCCGCACTCATAATTGTCTGCGTCGTTGCAGTTGGTCGGCTTGGTGATAAGTCAGCACCTTTGTTGCCTCTTCCACTGCGTGGATGACGGAACTTACACCCCATTGTGCGTAATCGGGCTTCCTGTGACAGTAAACGTTTGCAAGACCTGCAGAGACTACGGCGCTGTAAAGACTGACGAGGAGAACGGATGTCTTCATGTTGGAGATGTATGCTTCTAATCGTTGTAGTTCCCACTTGAGACATTACATTATATTGCGGTTGCCAAACACCTTTTATAAGAGCCTCACTCGCAAAGGAGAACTTGGCTGCCTGACTGCCAAACTACATCAACCCATTGCAAAGACTGCTAGACGAACTTAAGTCATGCCCCATAGAAAACATGAAGATGCTCAGTCGATTAGAGCAATGGGGCCGCCGAAGATTTCCATTGTACGCTAGTAGGGGAAAGTTTAGACGTCACTAACACAGTGCATCGTAATTTCCGCATATCAATACGAAGCTGCTTGCTACCGCAGTAAAATCTTTGGCCACTGCCGTAACAGAATCATCAGAATAGATTTGAATGGCGGACAAACATTCCCTTGAAAATTTCATGATTTGGTTAGCATATGTTTCTAAGATTATAATGTTGTAGTCTGAGGTCGAGGAAGCCGCTCAGACTGCCCTGGTGAGAAAGCCAGTTCACAATCTCATTGTCGCTCGAATCAAGGCTCCCAAGATTTATTGCTCACGTCCAAGGCGTGGGTTCAACGTCTTCTTAATGGACTTGATCACTTTGTACGGATATTCGGCATACGGCAGAAGACAAGTGCCCGACTAAAATACTTTGCACTGCCACAATAATATAGATCAAACTTTAATTAATTAAGTCCCAGACATGACCTCATGCGTTCTGGATTGCTTGATGCCTTCATCCTAAACAAGGACAGGAGTATAATCCGTATTGTAAGTCCAAATCAAGGGAATAATGTTTTGATAATAATTCAAAGTGGTTTTTTATTTTCTTTATTTGTGCCCTTAAGGTTGGGTCCGTTGTAAGGCTGAAGCAATCCGGGTTTCGAGCCGTATCTCTGATAAAAGAGAGTTTGGGAAAGGCTCCACTAGACTCACAAGCCATATGGCAAGTCGGAATTATATATGTTCGTCTCATGATGTCTGACCCGATATTTCGGACAACTCGTAGGGCTGAGGTGCCGAGTCCGTGGCCCAACAAATTTAATGTGCGGGTTGCTCCACGAAAGCATACCACGTTGTCAACATAAGTAGCCCCAGTTCTCTCATTTCACTTCGTACAATATGATCCTCCGAGCACATCTTAGTTAAATCAATCTTGTTCAATCTTATTGCCTTCTTCTTTGCGGTCCTTTAACAACCTTTGTTACTAGCTCAGCTGCAAAACGTCAAAATGCGTGTTACTGCATTCATCTTCAGCGCTCTTTTCGCCTCGTAATAAACAGCCTACCTCTTTGCTTGATTCAATACTGACTGTCTAAAAGCGCTCTCGCCGAGACCTCTGGTTACTGCTGCACGAAGAACTCCAATGACCAAGTTGTCAGCCACAACGACCAGACGAGGGCTTGCTGTAACGGCCGCTGGGATGGTGTAAGTAGATGTTGTACCCGTACGCTTCGAGTGGAGGCTAATTATTGAAAATCTGAAGACGGAGTGCTGGGTTGCAAGCAACCTTGACCCCCTCACCAAGTGTTGCAGGAGCAAGGGAAGTGCTATGTGTGCTTTTTAAATAGACCTACGTAGGAATCAACAAATATTTCCAGGCTCTTCTACAATGACTTTTTTATTAAGTAACAACTTTCTGTACGTGACGTCAAGTAACTTTCAGATCGGAATGGTGTTTCCAGTTGAATATTTTATTTTCGTTTGTCATCCTCTTCATCGAGGATCATCTCCCCTGCCCCGCCTAATGTACAATCGAAATGACGCTCTTTTTCTTGATGTGCCACCACGCATTATCAAACACCATTATTCGTACACATTTCCCATACCTTTGCCATCCGTAATGCGTCATCCTCACTACCAAGCCTCCCACATCTGCGACCCCATGGCGACTAGCCGGTTGAATAGCTCATCTCGTTCCAGGATTGCAGTCAGATGGTACTCCTTGCCAAGAGTATCGGTGATGATGAGGCCATCCGCAATCTCACGATCTGTTGCCCAACCGACAAAAATCTTTGACTTCCATCCAAGGCCACCGACTTTGCGTATTTCCTTTTCAGGGTTAGTATATGTGATTTCCGCATATGAGGAAATGCCTTACCGCAATATCACCGATCGTGACAGACCATATTGGCTTCACGTCATCTGATTCTGTCGTCCAGCTTATAGCAGGCGTTGTGGCCGTGGCTGTAATAAAGGCATGACCTCTTTTACCCTTGTATCGAGCTGGGAAGCTGATTGGTCCTTTGTCGGGATCGGGTTGTTTCTTGACAACCCCGAGCCTGTCTTTTGCGTGTTTGGCGCCCGCTTTAGCCTTTACCTTATCGGCTGCAAGAGTTGTGTTGATGCCGCCTTTCGCAGTGCTCTTGATAAAGTTCAAGATTCTGTGGCCCTTCTTTTGTTTGTGCTCTTCCGTGTTGGACTCCGCAGGGGCAAGGGCAGCTTCGTCCGGTTGAATGGCCTCATCTATTTCCTCTTGATCGACACCTTGTAAGTTTGTAAGCCGTGCAGACTTCGCGGTACTATAGGATTTCTCACCGAGGTGTTCAAGACCTTCGCCCGCCGTCGGATGGGGCTGATCAGATGGTGGTGTAGTAGACGTTGGTGGCGGCGGTAGAGGTGCCTTATTCCGCTCTCCGATGCGCAAGAGCGTGATCGTAAGCTGGGCATTGGTGGGTATGCCCTTAAGTAGGGTGTTTCGCAATTCAACATATTTTTTCCATCGAGGGTAGGTACTGGACAAGGACATACTTTAGACACGCGAGTTATAAGACTTGACAGGAAGACTGACCGGTTGATGAACACCAGGCCTCTTTGGATCAATGGGTCGCCGAAGATGGTGAAGCCGACGATGAATCCGGTTCCTTTTACCAACATGTAGGATGTGGTGAAGAGCGATCCGAGGAGCATGGGAAGGAGTACGCTGGCCAGAATGAGTCGGGGTCGTTGCTGGGGAAAGGGTGGTGTCGGGCTAAGGGCGTTTCCAAATCGCTCCCAGGTATCCACAAACTAATTGTTTTAGATGGCAAGACATCACCAAGTTGAGTGAGTTGAGAGAAACTTACGTCCGCAATGCCGTGCATGACAGGTCTAGCCTGGGTCCAGACAGTCTCAGAGACGGGCTTCTTGGTCTTGTCGTGGTGAGAGCTGGGCTCATCTCCATGAGTCTTATCCTTGGCATTGACAACATCTTCAGCAACATTAGTAGGGTCCGGAGCAGCGGTGTCATTGTGAGGGTCGCCTTGAGGGTGCTTCCCCGCTGCGGTGCTAACGATCAGCGAGGAAATGCTATTCACGAAGCTGTGCGCCTCCTGTTCCACGGCTTCGCCGGCGTGCTTCTCGGGGGCACCCGTGATTGAGTCTTCAGACGCGAGGACGCCTGATGAAGGTTTTTTGACGCCGCCAGTCCTGCTGTCGATAAGGGATGCAGGGGCTGGAGGGAAACAGAAGGTGCGCGCTTCGGGAACTAGAACAAGAACGATAAGGAAGCTAACAAGAACGGGGACAACAAAGTCAAAGATCCACGCGATGGTATAGACAGAGAGGAAGGTTGAAGTGCGCTTCCACTCGCGCCATGATCGGATGCGGACAATGTGCTTCCAAAAAGAGAACAGGCCAACGATAACTGTCATATACAAGCGCTCAATATGAGCTCTGAGCTTGTCAGGCGAAAACTCTTCCTCGTCGGCAATGTTTAGGTCGAGTGAGGCCAACTGCGACTTGTCAGATGTGTAGAGCTAAATATCACTGTTCGCGGCTTACTGGTGCTTCTGGAATCGATTTCACGTGGAAGATTTGCTGTTAAACATTAGAATGTGGCAACGATCATGGGATTGTGCTGAGCAACCCATGTCTTTTGTGGTCCTTACTTTATCAAACCGCCGGACAAGTACCCAGAGCTCCTCGTTTGTCAACCCGCCAACCATAGGCTGAGCAACGTTCCTAGGTGGTGTATTCCATCCCAGGTCCTTTACCTCGATATCTTTATGCCCCATTTCTGCAAACCCCTTTTCCTCGATGGGCTTCTCCTTAGTAGCCATGTCTGCCAGGAGGTGACTCTCCGTTGGCTGTTCTTCTTCGTGCGACTCCACCATTTCTGGCTCATGTCCCAGCGACGACTGGCTTGAGTAGCTGTAGGTGGATTGGCTTGGCAGGTCTACAGGGTCTACCAATGGATGGGATGATGCTGAGGGCGGCGGCGGTGGATGTGAGGCCATTTCGTCGGCCTCTGTTTGCCGACCCTTGAACATCTTTGGTGATCAAGAATGCGTACTTTGAGAAAGTCCGCAAGGGTAGCAGCTGAAAGGACTGTGTTAGTTGCTGCGTTCGAGAACAGGGAGCTTCTGTTGATTTTGAAGCTCTGAGAGGCCCAGAATCATGATTTTGGCCAGAACTGGAAAGCAACCGCCGCCGACGTCAAGCGCGTAGCTGGCCATAGGCTAGGGTATCGGGTAGCCGGTACATGACGTCACGAGATGTGAATGCATTGATTGGAGAGTTGGCGGGAAGATCGATGTGATCGTCTGCGGAAGATCTCCACATGGATGGGCTATTTGGGGGTGAATGACATCTGCCTACTAAACGATTGGATCATTGCACACATTTGTTTTGATGCTTGGTGCATTGATGCAGAAGGGAGTCCGGAACGCACACTCGATCTTTGAGTCTAGAATTCGATTAGAGCTTTATGCCGTGCGATTATTGGCCAAGCGCCTTTGTATTTGTCTCATTTGCGATGGAGCTCAGTTTCTGCTTGCAGAACCATCTAATCAACGAGTAACACGATTGTTTTGGGTGTGTATGCACAGCCTAAGTGGATGCGCATGTCGTTTCTCTGTAAGCCTAGAAAGCTTTCAATGACCAGATGGTCTCTGTTTTCCTATCTCCTCTTCACTGTTTCTATGTCCTTTCTATCCAACTGGCGATTTGAATCACCTCGTAACAGATCGCAAGAAACTACAACAATAGCAGGTGACTTGAAGCTACCTATCTCAAACCGATGAAAGCATATTCTGTTTTGGTACATCATCGCAAATATTACTGCGTAGCCGCCAGATAACGAAAGTCGGATTGGCATGCTCTACCCCACACGATCGATCACCTCAATCGATTGTATACGATTTCAGCCCATAAGGACGTTTCGTTGAACAACACCATCTCTGAAAAGCAAAATTGTGATGATTCTCAGTCAGTCCTCGGCTTAGTGGCAACGGTAGCCATCGTGGTCCCACTCGGGCATTTCCCCCTAGACTAGGGGTGAAAAACTCCACTCTAGGGCTTATGGGTGTCTTGTTGCTGCACCGCTTCCATCACCCGATCCGAGGATTGCTAAGGATCATCTCCCGGAAGGGTGGCCGAGTTGGTTATGGCGCCAGGTTAAGGTCAGCTTAACATCTGTTTCCTGGTGGGGCAACCCGCGCGAGTTCGAGTCTCGTCCCTTTCATTTTTCAATTTTTTGACACATCTTCCTACCATGTATGACTTGGTATTGTCTGCTTTAGAACTCCATTAACCTTATTATGCACAGCGAATGTCCCTAGTGAATCTGAGTGGAGAGGTCAACACCAAAGCTACTATTATAAATTCAATGGACAAGAATTTGAAATAAAATTTCGAACTGTGCTGAGATTATGTGCTTCATCGTCCAACCTCGCTCGGTACAATCAATCATTGCTCAAATTGGCCAATTCCAACAAAATTTAATCACAGCATTGTGAACCATCGAAAAGTACATGTGGACCGTGGTTGCTCAACTTTAAAATTTATTTAATATTTTCAAGCTAGAGTTGTAACTATTACTTTAAATCTTTCTCATAATCACTTCATTAACCCTGACAATTCGCGTGTGTCCAGGGTAATATCTCATCTAGTATCCCGCCCACCAAGTGTAGTTGTTGGTCTGCTCGGGGGTATCCCAAACCAGGGGGACGCTGGTGTCCTCGGGCCTCTCGGGCCAGGCCTCCGCCAGGCCGGACCAAACCTTGACATCCTTCCAGGTGGCCTTGGCGCCGGTAGGCTCCGTGGCGTTTCCAGCAAAGAAGCTAAGGGCGGTGCTGTCGTTGCGCGAGGGGTAGATGCGAGCCGTCAGCGCAAAGCGCTCGTTGACCCAGATCTCGAGGAGAGAGTTGTCGAGCACGACATGGAAGTTGAGCTCCTCGGTCGAGGTCGTGTTGCTGTTCTTCTTGATGAGCTCGTAGGGCTCAAAGTGGCCGACGAAAGTGGCGTTGTTGAAGTTGGGGAGCAGACTGCTGTGGTCGCGAATGACGCTGATCTCAGAGGACTCGGGGTCGAAGAGGATGGTGGTGTACTCGGCGTTGTCGGGGCTCTGGCCGACGATGATGCCGGCAGGTCCGCTGAAGCTGCTCAGGGTCGCGGTGAGTTCGTAAGAGGTGCCGACGTCGGGAGAGACGGTCTTGGCAGCATCAGTGAGCTCGCCAACTTCAAATTCCTGCTCCTGAGCACCCTCGTGAAGGAGCTCGATGACGTCAGGCAGAGGGCGAATACCGAGGGTCTGGACGGTGTAGCCGTTGCAGCTCTTGATGCAGTGGCTGCCGTCCTTCTGCTCGCCGCACTTGGCGACATCCTTGGTCTCCTTGATGAAGAGCTCCATGGGCAAGTTCATGGAGCCCTGGTAGCCAAACTTCGTAGATGTGTTCAAGGCGTAGTCTGAGACGATATCTTCGTTGGCCCATCCCCACATGACACGGCGGCCGTCGTTGCGGGTGTCTTTCCAGGTCGCCTGGGCGTAAGAAATACCCCAATCAAGGGCACCACCGGAGGTAGGAGTGAACTCGACGGAGCCGTTGTCGCGACGGGCGATGTCTCCGCGGTTCCACAGAGCCCACTGTTCACGCCAGTGCTGGGTGGTGTTACCACCCTCGGCACCCATAGAGACGAACCATGCCTTCTCATCCGAACCTTCGATGGACAGGTCAAACAGACTGCTGACCTCGAAGTTGTAGCCGTAAGAGCCGGTAATGTCAGGCGCGCCCAGGGACTCGTTGGCAGCGGGCTCCCAGAGGGCTCCGAGGAATGTCCACTGGGTAAGGTTGGAGGCGGGTGCGGAGTAAAGCGGGATACGAGGGCCGATGAAGCCGGGGCGTGCGGCACCGGGCAGCTGAACGGGGACATCGCCGGTCTTGAGTCCGGAACCGACGACCATGTAGTAGTGGGGCTCGCTGACCTCGAGGAGGCTGTCAAGCTCGGTGGAGGGGAAGAAGCTGGGGTCTCTCCATCCAGTGACGTTCCAGCCCTCGGGAGGACCAGAAATGACGGTGCCGATTTCCTTCCAGGTGGAGCCGCCATCGTCGGAGGTGTACAAGGCCTGAACCTCGGTGCCGGTGATGTACGGTTGCTTCCAGTTCGTGGGCAAGTGGTGAATGCCAGTAGCGAAGGTCAGCAAGGTGCCGTCATTCTGGCCCTCCAGATTGACCGGCTGGGTGGTACCGGTGAATTGGGAGAGAGGACCGGCAGCGTATGCGCCAGCGGCAAGGGAGACAGAGGAGTCGTTGGCCCAGTCGCGCACATCAGTCCAGTGGAACAAGTCCTTGGAGACGGCGTGGCCCCAGGAGATGTTTCCCCAGTTGACGTGGTTGGGATGCCACTGATAATGGAGGTGGTACGTCTCCGTGGCCGGATCATACAGAGCACCGCAAGGATCGTTAATCCAGCTGTGAGGCGCCAGGTAATGCGAGCGCGGCCTCCATCTGGTGAAAAGGGAGTTGTTTCCCGCCGTCGCGAGGTACTCTGGAGTAATGGTTGGAACAGTCGCAGAGGCAGGGACCGCGATGGCCCCGAGAGACACAATGGCCGTGAAGACGGCACTTCCCTTGAGCATCGTCATCCTATACTGTAAAGACTCGTGAACTCGCCGCTTGACATCCGATAAGCTTTGAACAAACCATTGTGAGGGGTTCATCTTATATATAACACCAGGGGATCAGACGATCGAAACAAACGTCTACCGCGGAAACTGCCATTGGCATCCCCAGTACGACGTCAGCCAGGGCAGAACCAGGGTTGGGTCCCCCGCCGAGAGACGCAAGGGTATGGAGTCATGAACCCGGGCTTATTGAGGCTCGGCTGGGTTGGCAATGACGACAAAAGGTCGAACACTGCCTACAAGATGAAGGGTTAGGTTTTTTAGATTGAGATTGCGGGCCGAAAAGGACTGACCACGAGGTCGAGAATCTGGGTGTAGAAAGAAAATCGCGGGGCGGCCAAGCCGTGCAAGGGCGCGCTACCGCCCCAACGGCGGTGGAGAGAAGCACATTGGCGTTGAAGTTGGAGGAGGAAATTGCGGGAGTTGCGGAGTCGCGGGGATTCGGCCGGGACATACTTCGCTGAAACTCAATTGAGGATTGGGGAAACCAAACGGGCTGGACTCGATCCTAGCCCAGTCGGTCCCTTCGTCCGCTGCCGGGTAGGCAACCTAGCACGTGTGAGACAAGCCTCCCATTTCTTCCCTGGTAGTTTCTTTCTTAACTCCGAGCCAATATTTGACAGGCCATTGGTTGTGGTGTGAGTATGCAAGATGCACGAGAGACCGTACTATGTAGTAGCCAAGTCCCCAAGTTGTGGGCAGACCACAGCATGGGGGGGGTTGCATGACTTCGTGGGGATGGGCAATTTCAGCGGCAGTTTGCTCGCTGTTACCATACAAGGGGACGCAAGGTTTAATGGCCGAGAGAATCGCCAGTTTCGCCCCGCCAAGAATGGATCTTATTGAATCCGGAGGGCGACTTGGGGGCCATCATTACGCCGATCCAGCCCTTTTTCTTCCCAGTTCCTGTTTGTCTGCCCTGTGAGCCCCGTCAAATCGGATGTTTCTGGCCCAAGCGTCTCGTTCGGACGACTTCCATTGCGGAGAGCAATAAGTTAGGTTCTGCGGAGGCATTGAGATAACTTTTGCGGAGGCAGTGTGGGGAATCACAGTGGGATGAAAGTCAGGTAATGGTCACGAGCGGGAAATATTTTCCACAACAACAATGATGCTTCCTTTGGTATCGTGTACTGCCAAATTCTCGCTTTATCTTGTGGCTAATTGCATCATTCTACCAGAATTGTCAGCATGTTGGCCGCATCATTCTTTGACTAGTGAAGCCGAGAAGCATCTAGTACCGTAAAATGGAGAAAATGTTTGCTAACGGACAACCTCCGTTAACAGAAGAAGTCATCTTCGCCTAGCTACGTCCACCCAATCGACATGTCTTGAAGCGTTTAAGGATCCTCTTCAATTGTCTGAGATACGTAGAATGGTGAAGTTCTATGTGTTTCTTCATGACTGTTAGCGTAATTGATTATAACCATGCAGTGGAGCATACTGGGTATTTTACTACGGCACCGGATTGTTTCTCAGTTCTGAGCACCGGATCCTCCGTTCGCATTCCACTATCGGCGTCGGTAAAGACAGGCCGATTCCGATCCTACTGGGGTATCGCCAGAAACTCCGGCTTCTGGAACTACGAAAGCCTGCTTGACTGCCAAAGGGGGGAGGAATAACATGCATCAATGAAAATACACTTTGGCCTACACGGAATGTTAGTTATCATTCTGGTCAGTCCTGTGGTCCCCATTCCTGATCCTGCTGGAACTTGTACCGGAACCAAAGAATGGTAATAGTATGAAGCTCGCTTGGTCTCTTTAACAAAACAAAAGTAGGGACTCATGACGACGCCTGGGGTGCGTGGGGTCCCCTGTCATTGCCGTGCATCAGGAATAACGCCGACATTAGCATAGCATTTCATTTTCCTGAGGACCGAGTACGCGCAAACCACTAGTCATGATATCTGGATACGCTGCCATTAAAGTCGCTGTAACTAAAATTACAGGAAATAGGGCCCAGGATGACCGCCCAAACCAGCTCCCAATTCGGTGTCAAGGTTTTAACACCTTAGGTGGAGGGATGAAGCTTGCTTCATGCTTATAGGATGGTTTACCACTCTCAGAAATACCTCTAGCAGACTGTCTATCAAGCAAGCCTCGAAACTATAATGTTGCCTTCCGGCTTGTCCGCACAAAGAGCTTGGATTGTACTATGTTTTCTAGAGTCAACTATTCTTCATGCTGGCGCGCAGTATCACGGCAGCTGCATGGGGATTCCTTTAGATGTCAGGTCCCCTGCGCGGTGTTGTTCTCTTTCATGATTATCTGGGGAGGCGGATACTCCCACGCTTCTCTCTCTGAAATATTCATGACAAGGATCAACAATATCGACAATTTTCCATATTTTAAATTTATTACTATCATTAGACATTAGCCTGCTCATCGTGGTGCGTAACCTGGTATCTCCGACTTTTTTTTTTTTTTTTTTTTTTACAAGTCAACAAACCATTTCCACTATTATGGTGGCAACACGGTGTACATGTTGAAAGGAGTTGTGTCTTCCGTGCTCTATCAGAACTTAATAACTTACCTATTATAATATTAGCGAGTTCCCTTTCTTTATGATCCCTCAGTCTTTGTAACCCCAAACTTCGCAATAGTTTTACCTTTCATCTGACCCAATCAGAAAAAAACTAAAGACAACGCGATCTCTGAGATTGACCCCCGTTCAAAACTTGCTTGTCTACTTCTCCGCTTTTGCCTCTGCTCTTTCTAAATACTACTGTCAGTTTTCTCCATTCATTAGTCTCCACATTTGGCTATCCTCAATATGACTGCCGACATTGCCTGGTACTTACAATCATACGTGGATGGCAACTGCTTATAGTGGGTGTCTCCTCCCGGCCTTGAGCGTGCATTTTGGCATTGGCCTAGTGTGCTATTAATAGCATGACAATAGGCGACCCAAGTGTAATCTCTTCACCTCCCTGCTCACCCTTATTAGCTAAGTATTGCTTATGTTTTAGGAATAATCTCTACTCTATCGTTAGTCAGAAAGGGTTAAAAGCAGTATGTCGTGCTGGCTCCGGGCCTCCGGACCCACTCTGCCGCGTCTCGGCCGCGAGGTCACGTGACCTCGCTCCAGCGACCGTATTCTTAAGCGTCCTTCGCTCCGCTCGCTCACTTAGAGAATACAAGCCGTTTTGTTCCTAGTTGATGCCGCCCGTGCCTGACGTCGGTCACCACAGTTATGAGCCCAGCTTACCACATCACCCCTTTCTACTGTTAACCAGACGAAGGGTTCGTGGCGGAACACCATCAACTCCTTACGGTCTTCACAAATTTCGCTTCAAACAGCAACTTCTACAACGAAGATGTCGTCGCAGATATCTGTTCTCACGAGCACGACAAGGCTAACCTGCCGCCGGGACTTCCCCGTTTGGTACGACGCTCTCTACGCCGAAGCCGACGCAGCAGACGTCTGGGATCTCATAGACCCAGACGACACTACGTCTCCGTCAGACCCAAGAGAGGACGATGAAGAACTCTCGATCGAATCATGGATCACGCAGCAGAACGAAAAGCAGCGTAGAACCTATGATCGGAAGCGGAAAGCCTACGATTCGATTCTCCAGCATAGGGCAGAAGCGAGTGACGATACAGGGGAAGAACTCCAGGAGCCTGTAGCACAACCAACTCTCACGCAAAACACGCCCGGGATCTTTGAAAGATATACGAACTACCTCGCTTCAAAATCAGGCCGCGACGTCCTCAAAACTCGTCGGGAGCGGGACTTCGACTCTATTCAGCGTTGGGTTAAGGAAACGGTCGACAAGGACATCCTCTACGCTGCGAGATCGGAGATCCTAGCGAACAACCAACGTTCACTCCGTGCTCTTATTCAGTACCTTCGGAAACGCTACGCTCCAAGCGAATCAAGCAGTCAAACTACAGTTCGCGAAGAGTACCTTCTCCTCCTGGAAAAGGCCAACACAAGCGTAAACCCCCAGACCTGGCTAAGAGACTTCCATCGAGTACTGCTCCGCGCGCTTCGATTCAGAATACCGGAAAGCCAGGGAACGCTCGCTTCGAAAACTTTTCTTCGAGCGGTGGGACACCGTTTTGCCCCCTCCTGGGCGACCTCCGAGCTCACTGAAATTGTCAAAATGGAGCGCAAGGGGGACCGCATCCCTACTGTAAGTGAATACAGGGATATGCTGGAGGACTTGCTGTATGAGGACACCCTATACGACAAAAATCGGGGTAAAACAAGCGCGGTTCGAAAGGAAAAGGCAAATCCGAAGCGTGCCCCTGCAACAAACCCCACAACGCAAACCCCCTGGAGTGCACCCGCGTGGAGTACGCCCTTACCGGGCGAATCAAGCCTTCCCAGGACAAACTATCGAGGGACGAGTGCAAGGAGATTCGAAAGCGTATCAATCAGTCCGAGAACTATGATCTCCGAGCCGAATTAGCTCGGAAAGGCTGGATCTGGGCGACGGAACCTCCCAGCTTCCGAAACCCAGCGCCGCCTCGCAATAGGTCGTCAGGAAATACCGGCTCTAAAGCGAAATCGCAGCAAGAGGAGAATGAGTCAGAGGTGACACTGAAGAGAAATATCCACGCAGTAACGATCAGCCGTGAACTTCTCCGGGAAATTTCGGACGACTTCGACTCGGACTACGACCAACCAAGCGTATTTGCAACCCCACTGACGGGACCCCATGTTCTGTCACGAAGCACGGTTCTCGACAACTGCGGAGCTACGCACCTTGTTAACAACCTTGACTTGCTTGAATCGTCTTCTATTAAAACGTGCATCGGCGACGAGAGAGTCGACTCAGGAACTGCTTCGTACCCAATCCTAGCAAAGGGAACGTGGATCTTGCCAAAAGCACTAAATGGCCCTGATGGAGACCTCACAGCAGACCTTACGCTCCATAACGTTGGATACGTAGAGAACTTTCACGTTAACATCGTTTCGGAAGCACTCCTCCGAAAGACAGGCATCTGGTACTCCGGATTGGATAACACACTTCGCCAGGGAACGTACAAAAACAGCGTGGTAGTCAAGCATCTTGTTAGGAAGATGAACATTACTTTCTTCGAATATAAGACCGGTTCCCAGTATATTGCTCAGAAGCGAATTACCTCGAGTAACGCAGGAATCGTGAACCATTTGGTGCTTGCAGTACAGGATCCCGCTCGACTCTCGCTTCGTAAACCACCTGATAGGTATGATGACGCCTGGTTATGGCACCTTCGTTCGGGTCACCTCGCACCAGACGCACTAGAACGAATGGTGTCAAACGTGAGAGGAGTAAAGATAAAAGGACCCACGCGTCTGGAATGCGAATACTGCGCGACAGCGCACGCGAAACAGTTAATTTCGAGGCGAACCTCTGAACGGAAAGCAATTCGACCGTACTATAGGGTCTCATGGGATCTCTTCGACTACCCGACAAGCTTTGACAAGAACCGCTGGCTCTTAGTGATCAAAGACGAATATACCGGTCGTCTTTTCGCGTTTCCGCGCGTAAGTAAATCGCACACCTTCGTCTTCGACGCTCTCAGGCACTTCGAACGATGGGTCGCTCGCCAACGAGGCGTCACCCTGTGCAAGCTGAGACAAGACGTAGAACGCGCGGTAATTGCGATAAACGGAATGACTGAGTATCAACTTTGGGCCCAGCATAACGGGATTGAAATCGAAGAGACACCCCCCTACACCAAGGAACCCAATGGCGGAGGCGAACGAGCGGGCCAGGAATTAATAACCCGAGCGATAAAGATGCTCAGCGCAGCGGGCCTGCCAACTACTCTCTGGGTGGAAGCAGTCATGGCAGCCGCCTACCTGTACAATATGTCACCACGGAAGCGAAGAGCTTGGCTCTCACCAATTCAAGTCGAAGAGAGCTGGTTCCGACAGTATTTTCGCTGGTGGCAACCACAATACAGCGCGAGCCTCGCCCGCGACCTTCGCCCCCACTGGGGCTGGACGTACGCGTATGGGTGTAGGGCTTATCCCCTGAAAAAGGACCGCGAAGCGGATAGGAACAGACGTAACTTCAAGGTGGAACCGCGAGGACATATTGGATATCTGGTGGGCTACGTTATGGACGCTCACAACCTATACAGAGTCTGGATACCCTCGCTTGATCAAGTGATTATCACGCGAAACGTTACCTTTGACGAGACGAAGTTCTACTCGAAGGACGATGCAAAAGCTAGTTTACAAGCGGAGGTGGCCGAGACAGTCTCCACGGAGATCTCGGAACCTCCGGCTACGGCGAACCCAGGACTCCAATTCCTCGGACTCGCAAAACCAAGCGAACTCGTATTTTCACTTGAAGAGCAGCCCCTGCCACCTGCCTTCGCGCCGTCGACCGTAATCTCAGAAGAGACAACGGTAAAACGCTCCGCGGTTAACAGCCGACGCGAAGAGGGCCTGCTCACCCCGGAACCGACCCCTGAGCCGGCCGCAGCGCCGGAGGGGACGGACGGGCAAACGACCGGCCAACAAAGCTCCGAAGCGATGGACGCCGGCGTTCCCGACCCGGGGCACGAAGCCCTCTCTGAGGCGGTCGAAGACGTGATATACGTCAAGACCAACAACGAACCTCCACGAGAACCGGCCGTGGAGGCCGACTCGAGTAATGATCTCGGGGGTGACTCCCCAACTCACCCGGTGCGGCCACACTCGGATAATGGGAACGGGCGCGAACCCGAGATAAAGACCAAGCGGGTGTACAACCGCAAGGACTACGGCCAACAACAGGGCAAACCGAGACGATCACCTCGCTTCGCCCAACACTTCGCATTCCTACAAACGGAACGTAATTGGGAAACTTTCTTCCATACCTATATGCCTGATCAGCAGAAGGCTGTGGAGGAAGCGAACCAAGCCCACTATACGCTCCATTGCTTCGTCTTCGCGTCAATACACCAAGCGAAGCACTCCAGAGCGGTCACTCCACAGCGAGTGAAAATACACACAGATGAGCTTATAAAGCCCCCACGAACGTGGAAAAGTGTTGAAAAAATGCCGACCCACCTCCGAAACCTGTTTTACGAAGCGGCCCAAGCCGAGATAAGTAAATTAGAGGAGATGGACGCTTGGAAAATCATTGACGAACACGAAGCGTCTACGAAACCTATTCCTCTAAAGTGGGTGTTCACTTACAAGCTTGATCAAGACGGCTACCTCGACCGCTGCAAGGCACGAATTTGCGTCCGCGGCGACCTCCAGGCGAAGCATCCTCTCGAACAGACCTACGCAGCGACCCTCGCAGCAAGGACGTTTAGAGTAGCGATGGCGCTCGCGGCGGAATTCGACCTTGAAGTAGACCAATTCGACGTAGTCAATGCGTTTCTAAACGCAACAAGAGGACCGAACGACCCGCCTGTCGTCTGCTACCTACCAGACGGCTTCAAACAGAACGGGAAGTACGTCGAGCTCCGCCGTGCCTTATACGGGCTACGAGACGCTCCCCTCCTTTGGTATAAGGAGTTCTCATCAACGCTGCGGCGCCTGGGACTCAAGCCTGCAAGCGAAGACCCCTGTCTCTTCACTTCAAACGACAAGAAAGTGATGGTACTCTTCTACGTAGACGATATCCTCGTCTTATACCATAGGGACCACCGCGAAGCTGCTCAAAACGTTATAAACGGGGTGAAAGCCGAGTATGAACTCAAGGACCAAGGCCCTGTCGAGTGGTATCTAGGCATTCGCGTGATACGTGACCGTGAGAAGCGAACAATTAACCTCGCACACGACCAATATATCGAACGCGTAGCGAAGAAATTCAACCTTATCGACTCGATCGTGCCGCATACACCATTGCCATTCGTCCCGCTCCAGAAGAACACCGCTGAAGCGACCCCTGACCAGGTAAAGCAATACCAAGAGAAGGTCGGCTCAATTCTGTACACTGCGATCATGATTCGCCCCGACGTCGCCTTCGCTTGCGCTACACTCTCGAGGTTCCTAACGAACCCGTCTCTCGAACATCAGAAGGCCGCGAACCAAGTCATTAGATATCTTTATCACACTCGCTACCTTTCGCTCTGCTTCGGTAGCTCGGGGGGTGCAGGTGCCCAAGTTCTCCTAATTGCGGGCGACGCCTCGTTCGCAGACGACGAAGAGACGCGGCGTTCATCTCAAGGGTACATCATCTCACTGTTCGGCGGTCCCATTCAGTGGAAAGCCGCGAGACAGAATACCGTTACCACTTCTACTACAGAAGCGGAACTCCTTAGCCTCGAAAACACTGCTAAGGAGACCATCGCTCTCAAACGCTTATTTCGGGATATTGAACTAGACCTCGGAGACGTATGGAAGATCCATTGTGACAATCGCCAAACGATTCGCCTGGTAGTAGGCGACAAGGAACGCATCTCAACGCGCCTTCGCCACGTTGATATACAGAACATGTGGCTACGCCAAGAGTATGCCAAGAAGACGTTCGACGTGGTATATATGCCTACCGACGAGATGCCAGCAGACGGTCTCACAAAAGCACTCTCCCGAGCGAAGTTCGAACACTTCAGGGCACTTCTAAACCTACAAGACATTCGGGCACAAGTCACAAGAAGCGAAGAGAAACAGGTGCGCGCGAGCAATGCTGGCCCGGAGGCCGAAAGTTAAATTTTGACTTGGCCCCTGGCCAGGAAGCATGATACGCTCCCAAAGGAGCAAAAGCAAGCGTACTTACGCCCCGTAGGGCGGGCTCTTTTAACGACCTCGGAGGGAGGCCGCGTACGTGTCCATCAGGACGTTGTACGCGGGGAGAACAGCCGCCGGCAAGTGTCCTCCAACAAGGCTGTCAATGGCAGCACGGAGACCAGCCGCTTCGGCCACGGCCGGAACCGCTGCAGAAGAGTCAACGGGCAGAGGAAATAATAACTGATGGGCAACCCACGTTGTGGGCCAATCAGAAGGCAGGATTTTCAGAAAATTCAACTGGCAATAATAAGAGGCAAGTACGACGGTTGAATAAAGGAAAGTGCGATTATTGCGCCAGGCGGCGCGCAAGGGCGAATTTCGCCATATTCACATCACTTCGAGCACAAAGACCGAGGCGAATACAACAACACCTCTCTTTTGTTATATATATATTCACAAGAGGCTCTGAATAGCCTCATAATCTTGTATCTAGGCGATAGTAGCGATATGGCCTCGAGGCGCGGTTTTCCAGACGACTACGCGCCGTCTGGGGGGGTGTGTCGTGCTGGCTCCGGGCCTCCGGACCCACTCTGCCGCGTCTCGGCCGCGAGGTCACGTGACCTCGCTCCAGCGACCGTATTCTTAAGCGTCCTTCGCTCCGCTCGCTCACTTAGAGAATACAAGCCGTTTTGTTCCTAGTTGATGCCGCCCGTGCCTGACGTCGGTCACCACACAGTATGTATATGTATGATCATATGGGCCATTGCACAAGCTTTGGGACTGAACATCAGGTCACGAAAATAATTCAAGAGACGACTTGACTTACTTTACTATTTCCTATCCACCCAAGACTATGAGAAAGGGAAACTTGGTGTCAGAATATGTGATATCTCAATATGAATAGTTGCGAGACTTTTCGTCGCAGCCTGAGTACGCCATCCGCGTGTGGAAAGAAGTCTACACCCGCGGCGCCGCTACTGGTGCCGTTTCATACTATCGTCATGCCAACCAAAACTCGTGGAAACACTTGATTATTGCTGGTACAATGAACCTCGCTATTGTCCCTTTCACGAAGGCGTTTATGCTGCCGACCAATAACGCCCTGCTGGCCGCTGCGAGAGGGTCCGCGTTTGAGCTGGGCTGAGACGGAGGTTTTAGTTACCTGATGGAAGTTGTTAAATCTTTCCAGCAGTTTGTTGCCGATGATTTGAAGCTTGTTGGGTCTGTACTTTTCCATCTTTAATGAAAAAACTGTCAATTGAAAGTTACGAGACATGCCGTCTAGACCTCTGCAGTGACACGGCATAGAAATGGAACAGTAGCGAGCCACTTAGTTGGCAAAAGAGCGCTTAAAGACAGTCTTGGGGGATAGTTTGATTAGGATTGAAACTCAATTATAATGTAAGTCAAAAACCTTTAAGCAATATTGACTATCTTGAGTAATTCAAATCAAATTGTGAACAAAGGCCTTCATGTTGTCCCAGGAATCATTTACATCTTCAATCCAAACTTCTAGTATCAATGGTTCTGTGACACATGGACTCTATTGTTTCCCAGGATGAAGCTGTGATTTGTATCGTTTGTACAACAAATTCGGAGGACCGCTAACAAGTTAGTCAACAAAAGAGTGTGAATAGGTAACCAGAAAGCTTGCCTGAATGTCGCTGCTTTCGATGTGGTTCAGTGATGTTTAGGGTGAGCAATAAGCAGGGATGCGACAAATGATGTCAGTGTAGCCGTGTACTAAACTAATTCCAGGAATCGGGTTACGCATACATTACATCAACCAACAGAAATAGGTAAGAATTTACTGCACTTTAAAAAACCAAATCCCCAATTCTCGTATTACGGAAAAGTGTTCTCTTTGAATATTTTCCTGTAATCTCCTTCAATGATTTAAAATCCCCAACACGTGCAACTTCAAACACGGGATGGATGGGTGAGAAGTTGAAGGTCAACGGCGTTTTGGGGGAAAGAGATTGTCAACCGCAATTCAGTAATTCCATATGAACGAGAAAAAGCCAGGGGGTGGGAGCTTTGACTTGACCACATCAAAACGTAATTTAAGTGGCATGTATACATGAAATGCACTAAGTTTGTTTCTAAGACTATCCTTCAAGCGGTGCTATTACAATGAGCATTTTATCAAGGCGTCCATGAGCCAACTCGCAATATGAACGACAACTGATAGGAAGTCTCGGAAGTGAATCTAAGTGAGAGTCGTGCTAGCATTAAAGGGTAAGATAGCTGGTTGAAGTATAACTGATGAGAGCAATAGCATCAACGACAGCATCTCACAACTTTTAGGCAGAAATTACTCTCTGAAGCAGAACTATAAAATGGATTGGGGAAACTATATCTTCCGACTAGCTACTCTCGTTGTTTAAAGAGTCATATAGTAAAGTTCCCGTTGCGCTCATTCAAATGCTTGATATAGCTTTCGTCCGCACCATCCGAAAGCTTTGGGTAGATGGTGATCCAGCCTCACCCAACCGACACAGTGAGTTTTTTCATACTTGCCGTTTGGGGAAATATTCAGTTACAGTTACCGGGTGGCTATTTGTTTAAGCCCTTTTTTAATATTGCAGAGTTTCGAAGTGAGCTTTTCGGGAAACCTTCTTCGCCACTTTGCTATTATCAAGGTTAAAGCTTCTCAATGCGATAATCTAACATACGCATGTTGCGAATAGCGCAACTTCCATCACTAATCGATGATCTTTTGGTCATGTTATTCACGTTTTCGAAATTATTTAAGTATCCTAGGACGAACTGAGCATTCCTTCTTGCCTTTCTCGATTCATCAGCCTCTCCCACACGGTACCCTTCTATCTCGGATCCTCTCAGTTAATCGTGAGTGAATTCATTCCTAAACCTTGCAGAAACTAACCCTTCCAGAAAATGGTTAAATTTACCAGCGCCCTCGCATTGATGTCCCTGGCATGCCTCGGACAAGCTGACACCGGCGGAAACGTCTGCACTCTGTCCAAGCTTGTCGACCAGAAGAATCCGCCTCCGGGGCTGGCCCACCGCCCCCTGCCGAAGATTCAGGGCCCAGCACGCATCAGCTTGACCAACACCATCTCGGTTCAGATGATCCAGGCCGATAAGACCCAAGGCTGCACGTGGAAATTCTTCAACTCTGGCGGTATTCAGAAGGAAGTGTGGTACTCCTCTGGAACCAAGAGCTGGAGTTCGATCTGGGTCTACGCAAACTCTGATCAAAGGTCCAAGGATGGAGGCGAGGGCTGCACGCTGCATGACAACTACTGTGATTCTGACAACGAGGGAGTGTTTATCGGCACTGCCCAGTAGATAAATTCTTGCATCATGAAGTCCGAAATGGATAAGAATGATGGTTTGGGCATACTGTAGGCCTTTCATGAAGCAATTTGGAAAGAAAAAAAACGCATCGACGTTTAACATGTATGGAACGTCGGAATGTATGGTTAGTGGGTGATTCACTATAAGTGGAATGATTTATGTTGGGAAGACAGGCTGCAACTTAGGAGCCGGCCTTGAGAATACCTTTCTGAAAAGCAAGGCTGCCAGACCGGACAAGATCTGCCGCGAGGAGCCGAGTACGAGACACTCCAATTACAGTAAGATCACCACAGCTTCGCTTTCAGGAAGGTTTTTCGATTGGTAGTTGTCAGACAACATCCTGTCATTCTTCCTTCAATCCAAAGTGCCTCTACGCCTTCATGTTCTATATTCCCACAGTCCGTTCTAACAACGTCATACATATTTTCTTATAAACACAGAACCAGTATGATATTTTCTGGCATGGTTGTGCTCACTTATGATCCATCCCGCTGGCCGCCATTCATCCGCGTCTTTACCAAATATTTCTCGGCAACGGTTCTGTGTGACGGGGCTCATACTGACGGTGGCAGTGGGCGGGAATAGTTGTCTTGCAATTATTTTCCCGCAATTGGCGCTTCCCTAGGAAGCTGATGAAATGCTTAGATCGAGTCTCAACACCCTTCTTTGATGCAAGTCGATAAGAATAGTAATTTCTCTGCGGCTACGTAACTAACACCGTAACTAATACCCTCTCCGGGACGATTTGATAGGCCTTTATCGGCATAGTCCTGTATGTGCTTGTAGTTGTGATGTGTCTCCAGCACTTGACTAATCACTGCCGTTGTTCCGATTGCAGTTGTGTCGGCTCCGGCGCCGATGATATTTCCAGCTTCCAAGAGAACAGAATTCGAATTTGCCGGCTGTCTATCTCGTGCTTTCAATTAAGTGAAATGATCTTTGGCCTGTCGACCTCTGGCCGGCCCTTCATGTAGCCGTTGCTGGACTAACTAGCGCAAACATCCCAAAGCTGATGAGTGTTTACATCGCTCCGAACGTCAACAAGAGGGGGGAGGGGGGGGCCAAACCGTTAAGGGCGAGTGATATGAATTAAGATGTAACTAAGTCAGATTTATGGAACCGTATACTTAGCTCTACGTAATCGGTGTCGGTGAAGAATTAAGCACATGTGCAGTGACGACATGGAAAAAAATACTACAGTTACCAACTCCATACCGGACCCTAAACATCATAGACCCCTAGCACTACATAATTACTCTCCTAACTATACTCCCTCATTGTAGCCATCTCGAGCCACCGTCTTGATATCGTTTCCGCTTGATTGCGAGCTATTTCTCTGACTATTACAATAGAAACTTTTCTTGCAGATTGCTGTATTCGTCTCTTTTTCGTAGTCAGTGTCGAATGGATCCTTGTTTTATCACATGTCCCTCTCTCGTAAGTGGGAACTGAAAGTATGTGGATATTACTACCCGTACCATTGAGCCAGCAGTGGGCCAATCGTTTTTATTAACTTCTGGCGCTAAGGACTTCTATGTAGGTTTGAAGTCTGACTACTTTCTAACGGTCAATATCGAGGCCCAGCCTGCTTTTCGCATTTTCATGGCTTAATCATTCTGATGGTTTAAACACCAGTGATACTTTAGCTTGCGAGGGTTATCAGTGATGAAATAGTCATCTGACTGGTTGATCGCTAGACATGGAATTCTAAACTCAGTTTGGGGAGCCTATTGAATTATCAACCCGAATAGCTAGCCCCAAAGTATCACTCGACCTAGCCAATGTTATCTCAATCGTGAGTGACTCGGAAAGCTTCCCGTAGCCTCGAGACTTTAGAACTAGCTAGGGTTTTGAAGAATAACCCCTTAGACTCGCTATATATCAGAACTTATACTTTAGCTTTCTTTTCACCGGCATTACCAGCCTTTTAACCTAAATGGTAGGTATCTCAATTTTCACTAAGTTGTTGTTACGACCCGACAGTTAACAGACCACTGACGACGACCCCGCAGGGGCTCAGCGGTTATAGGGACGGCCGTCTGATTGATTGATTGATTTATTCCTACTCGGTTATGAAGCCGCTCTTATGCCAGCAGCTATGCCCGGAAAGCGGGGTTTGGCAGGTAGCCGAAGCGTCGACAATGAACAGCGACGCCCCACTTCGCCCTGATGTTGCATCAGGGCCAGCTATCCCCAAGCTCCCCACTATGTTCTCTATTCTGTGTGTTTGTGCCCTCTGTTGAAGAAGTGTGTTGCTCTCCTGTCTGCTTTCTCGCTTTTGTGTTGCTCTCTAGAATGCTTGTTTTGCGTCCTCCTGCTTCGGTTCAGTTGGTGCTGGTAGCACCGTATCTGGTTCTTTGTACCTACAGTCTCCCCCCAGCGCTCAGCTTTGTCTCTTTGTTTTGTCCGTATCCTCCCGGACTTGTATGTGCCGTTTTCTCAGTTGCATCTGTAAATTCTTTGTTGCCTCCTGCCGGGTTCCTATGTGGCCTCTTGTTTCTTGCCTGTTGACCACTATTGCCCTCCACCACATTGGCCTAAGGGTCTTCCACGAAGCACAATGCTCTACTGACTCCGACATGTTCGATTACTGGGTATGAGAGCTCCCGCACAGATTCCGCAGACATTGTCGCGCGTTGAAGGGACACCAATCCTTCTTCGCAAAAGGGGCGACAGGGGACCAGTCTGTCTGTGGTCTGTAGTATTGTGTGGCATCGATCGTAGCATGCCTAATGCCTGGTGCTTTCTCCGTGCGGAAGGTGATACTGTTCTGTCGGACTCATCTTCGTCGTTGTGGGACGTTGCAAACTTTGTCGGGGGTGACAGGTGACCCAAAACCTGTCGGCGGCTGTTGTGTTGAAGTTGATTGTTTGGGCGCAGTCTTAGTGCTTCGTGTAGCGGCTTGTGGCTCGCCTGTGGTGGTGGTAACAGTGTTGTCTATTGATATGTCGTATTTTGCGGCTTGCTCTCAAGTTTTTCATTGTAGTCGGGGCGTGCTCTGCGGCCATCTTGGGCCCCTTTGGGACGTAGAATCAAGGCCGAGGATGGCATTGCATCGAAGGGGGCTCTGTGGCCGCGAGCACGCGTATTTGGGGCCGTTTTTGCTCCGATTTTCAAAAATTTCGTTCTCGCTGTTGTTGATGTTTTTCCGCTAGGGACGGCCGTCAGCCGTTACGTCGTAACAACCCCCACGGAACGGAAGAACTAGGATACAGGTCACGTGACGATAAGCAGGACCGACGGACGATAAGCGGTCCTGGGACAGGACCGACGGTGCCAAGGGCGGTCCATGGCGATGGACCGACGTCCTGGGTGTCGGTCCCCCAGGATCAGGAAGTGTTCAGCATGGAACCAGACTTGTATATAGTTGGGACTCGAGTCCTCTCGAGTCCTACCTTTCCTAGTTCTTCAGCAATCAACTTCGTGATTACCCTAACCGGTACTTTCAGCTATACCTAAGTGACGACTACTCTACGACTCTTGTTGAGGCCTTGACTGATCACCAAGACCTTTGAAGATCTACGATCTATTCGACCAGGACCACGGAACGACTGTTACTACTCTCAATCCCTGGCTTACTGTTAACACAAACCCACTGTCAGTTAGCTGGCCGTAACACTTTGATTGCTCCTGTTCAGTAAGTCACCTTTTGAGAACTACTAAACAGTATAGACAAGATGTCTTCTCGCGCTTCTGCCAAATCACCCACTCCAGGATCCTCATCCTCTTCGCGCAACCAGCCTCAGAGCCTCGCGCAGGAGCCCGCCAACACTGAGGACTTCGACATGCCGGACCTCAAGTACGACTCCGATGGAGATGGCTCTTTCACCAAGGAAAGCTACGATAAGCTCCGACGCATAATCCAGAAACAAGAAGCCGAGACAAAAGACATGCAGAAAATCGTCAACGAAAACCGACAAGCAATGGAAAACCTCAACGAGCAACTCCAGCACGCTGGACAGGCCTACAAGAAGCTGGAAGAAGACATCAAGGGGGACGCCAACCTCCGGAAGATCCAGGAACTCCAGGGGGAAATCACCACCCTCCGGGCCGCCGCCAACATCGTCACCACGCCCGTCCACGGAGGACGACAAAAGCTTAAGCTCAGTGCGCCTGTCACCTACGACGGAACCCCCGGGACCCTTAAAGGATTCCTGATTCAGGTCAAAAACTACTAGAACTTTCACCATGGAGATTTCACTAACGAAACCGAAAAAGTAGTACACGCAGCCACCTACCTCCGAGGAAAGGCCCTCAAGTGGTTTGAACCAATCTAGGAAGAATACCTTAAATGCGAGACCCTCGACGAGTGTACTACCGAGACCCGCGACATCTACGCCAATTTTAAAGGATTCGAGGATGCGCTTAGGTTACTCTTCCAAGACCCCGACGAAAAGCGACAAGCCGAACGAGATCTGGCATAACTTAAGCAGACTAAGTCTGCCAAAGACTACTCCGCTAATTTCCGACAACTTAGCGTTTAACTCGACCTTACCGAGGAAACCAAGATCTTCATGTTCTATCAAGGACTAAAAGACGAAGTCAAGGACGAGATCATCAAGATTGATCGACCTGACGACTTTCTTTAGTACGCCGAACTCGCTATCAAAATCGACAACCGGCTTTTCGAACGACGAAAGGAAAGAGGCGAAAAACGACAAAACCCTAACTCAGGACGCAAGTACCAGTAGCAGCCTCAGCACCAGTTCAACAACCAGCGAAACGACAATAGACCCCGCAACAACTAGAACAACCCCCGACAAAGTACTGCCTATGGTTACTATAGTAGACCAATGGACCTTAGTGCTACACAGAGAAACGACAAAAAGAACGACAGTTGGAAGAAAGATAGACAGTGCTATAACTACTAGAAGATTGGACACCTAGCATACGAATGCAGGTCACCTAAGAAGGAACGCTTCCAACCGGTACTAGAGAAACGACAAGCGAGTATCGCTACGAAGACGATCCCTCATAAACAACTCAACTGGACCACCTGCTTCGATGACAACTGCTATATCTACTCTAGCAGTAAGGAATACGCAGGATGGTACCCCTAGAAACCTTAAGAACGATCTGGTTACGACACTACCAACGCACCTAAACGGACCCTCGCTGTGGGATATAGAAGCAATAGCAAAATCGAGCGCAAGACAATCGAACAGCTCGACAGTATGAACGACAACGAGGAATTAGAACAAGACAATCAGCGAAGACTGAACCTCCTCTACGCAGGACGACAAGCCAACCTGCAGCGGATTCAACAGGACTCACAAAACCCTATGTGGCAACGACAACTCGGTGCGCTGGACGCACACATCGAACGACGACAACATGCACAAGGAGATCCCGCACGGATCCGCCAGATCAACCAAGAACTGGAAGAACAGGTCGAATCAGAAACGACCAAGAACACCCCCAACGACTCGGAAACACCTCGCGATGTTGCCTGCTAACATGCCTAACTGGAAGTCGCCTTTGAAGTCGCTTCAGTCAACGACACCAGCTCTGGAGAGGACTCTGACGAAGAAATACAGTGGTATCACTGCTACCAAGACCAGCGCCGAGTCCACTATATCAAGAAAGACGAAGCATGGAAGAAACAGCAAGAAAACGACGAACAAGGAACGGACGAGCAGTCAAAAAACTAGACTCGCCTACCGAAGACAAGGGACAACGACAGGCAGTCCAGACAAGGTCCCTATGTAGCGCAACGACGCCCACGACACAACGACACGAGCATGTACAAGTCCAAATACAGCTTAACGGAAGAACAGCTACCGCCATGATCGACAGCGGAGCCCAAGGAAACTTCATATCACCAAGAACGGTGAATGAAAGAAAGATAACCTGGAAAAGAAAAGCAGCCGAAGACTGCTACGAACTCAGCACCGTTGAAGGAGAACAAGTCTAGTACGGCGGAGGACGCATTGCTATGGAGACAGCGCAACTCCCTTTGCAGATCCATGGCCGGAATGAGCGACTGAACTTCGATATTACGGAGATAGGAGACAAGTACGATGTCATCCTTGGAAGACCATGGTTATACGACAGTAACCCACGGATAGATTGGAGAACAGGCCAACTCCATTGGGACCAGGATTCAGTCACTGAGAAGCAACCACGGAACGGTGCCTCAAACGAACCTCTCAAGACTCCTGAAGCGAAGAGATTTCTAGCATACCTACGGATAAAGGATGCAAACGCCAGGACGTTATCAGCAACAGACATCGGCAAGGAAGACCGACTTCTGTCTATCCCAGAAGAATACCGGCAATACCAGAAGCTATTCGCCGAAGAACTCGAGACCGGACTCCCGGAACACAGCAACTACGACCACGAGATACCCCTTAAGGAAGGGAAGGAGCCAAAGCTAGAAGCAATCTACGGACTTAACTAGAAAGAAATGGAAGCACTCGACGCTTACCTCAAAGAAAATCTACAGAAGGGATACATCAGACCCTCTACATCACCAGCGGGATACCCAATCCTGTTCGTACCAAAAAAGAACGGCAAACTACGACTCTGCGTCGACTACCGGAAACTCAACGACATTACGATCAAGAACTGCTACCTACTACCGCTTATCTCCGAACTACGAGACCTGTTGCACGGAGCACAGTGGTTTACAGCACTCGACCTAAAAGGAGCCTATAACCTGATCCGGATGAAATCAGGTGAAGAATGGAAGACAGCGTTTCGAACACGCCGAGGACATTACGAGTACCTTGTGATGCCCTTCGGACTCACCAACGCACCCGCGACATTCCAGACGATGATCAACCACGTCTTACGAGAATTTCTAGATGTGTTCGTCGTAGTTTACCTCGACGACATCCTAATCTTCTCCAAGACTCTGGAAGACCACAAAAAACACGTACACCAAGTACTGCGGAAACTGCAAGACGCCAAACTCCTAGTGGAACCCGAGAAGAGCAAGTTTCACGCCAAAGAAGTCGAATTCCTAGGTTTTACGATAGCCCCAGGAATCCTCAAAATGTCCAAAGACAAAATCGCAGCAGTACGAGACTGGCCTACACTACAGAACGTTAAGGACGTACAATCCTTTATTGGATATGTGAACTACTACCGACGGTTCCTAGAAGGGTACTCAGACAAAAACGACCCTCTCACGAGACTCTCGAAGAAAGATGTTCCCTGGCAATGGGAAGAAGAACAAGAACAAGCCTTCAACGAGATCAAACAACAAGTCACATCGGAACCAATACTTGTTATACTAAACCCCGAGAAACCATTCGAAGTCGAGACCGACTCCTCAGACTACGCTATAGGAGGACAACTAGGCTAACGAGACGACGAAGGACGACTACACCCTTGCGCCTTCTTCTCACGCAAGTTACACGGCCCAGAACTTAACTACCAGATACACGACAAGGAACTTATGGCAATTATCGAGGCATTCAAAGAATAGAGACCGCAACTCTCAGGAACCAAGTACGAGGTCAAAGTATACACCGACCACAAGAACCTCGCACACTTCACCACATCGAAAGATCTCAACAAACGACAAATTCGATGGTCCGAATTCTTGTTAGAATTCAATTTCAGAATCATCTACCGGAAGGGCAAGGAGAACGGCAGGGCCGACGCCCTCAGCCGACGACCGGACCACGAGGTCCAGGTACCTAAGGAAACCCGAGTTATCCTCAAAACAGACAAAAACGGAGACCTTGTGCCAGCAGCCAGACTCTTAATGATGGCTAGAAGAGACAGTACCAGCACGCCTGGAAGGATGTCTCCTGAAGCCATTAGGGAGATACACTCCGCACCCGCACATGGTCACCAAGGCGTAACCAAAACGTGGAAACGCATCCGTCAACACTACGACAAAACGGCTACACGACAAGAAGTATCTTTAGCGATTAAGGACTGTAAGGTTTGCGCAAAAAGCAAACCCAGCCGACATCAGCCTTATAGAAAGATACAGCCGCTCCCAGTGCCGCAAACCGCATAGGAATCCATCTCGCTAGACTTCGTTACTAAGTTACCTAAGTCCCGAGAACCGATAACCAACGTCCACTACGACAGTGTCCTCGTCATCGTCGACAGACTCACAAAGTACTCATACTTCATTCCATACATAGAGTCAAGCACTGCAGAAGACCTCGCCTACAAGTTTCTGCAGGTGATCGTAAGCCAACACGGAATGCCGAAGGAAATCGTATCCGACAGAGACAAGCTGTTCACTTCCAAGTTTTAGAGATCCCTGATCTCGCAGCTAGGATCTGACCACAAGATGTCCACCGCTTTCCATCCGCAAACCGATGGCCAGACAGAACGAATCAATCAGATCATGGAAACCTACCTACGCTGCTACGTCAACTATCAGCAAAACAACTGGGTCCAACTGCTACCTATGGCCTAGTTCGCTTACAACAGCGCAGTAGGAGAAAGTACAAAAGAATCACCATTCTACTTGAACTACGGATTCAACCCGACAGCCTATGGACAACCCCGACAAGGCCCAACAGCTCTGAAAGCTGTGGCAGATATCAACAAACTCAAGGAAATCCAACGAGATCTTCCCAGAGACCTTGAATTTGTGCGCGAACGCATGCGCAAATACGCTGACAAGACAAGAGTTAAGGGACTAACTCTGAAGGAGGGGGATAGCGCATACCTTCTCCGCCGGAACATCAAAACAAAACGACCAAGCGATAAGTTAGACTTCAAGAAACTTGGACCCTTCGAAATCACGAAGAAGGTATCCAACGTTAACTTCAAACTCGCACTACCAGACACTATGAAGTGTCATCCAGTTTTTCATATTTCACTTCTCAAGCCAGCACCAAAAGGATCACGAACTATAGACCACATCGAAGTCGACCCGGAACAGGACTACGAGGTCGAAAGGATCCTCGATCACATCGATCAGCACGATAACACAGAAATACAATACCTAATCAAGTAGAAAAACTACGGACACGAAGAAAATACATAGGAACCCGCATCAAACTTAGAGCACGCACAAGAGGAACTTTAAGAATACTGGACGCAATGGGAAACACGACAGCACGCCAAAGTCATGCAAAGACCAACACACAACCCTCGCGTCAGAAACCCTCAACCCAAGTTTCGACCAACCAAGAAACCCCAGGGCAACAAAACGTTTCTTCGCCTAGGAACACCTAGCCCTGAGTAGCCGAGGAACCTCCAACACTCCCCGCACCCGCGCCATCCACTAGAGGACCCAAACCCACAAACTCGTCACCAAAACCAAAAAGGGACCAAGGAGGATCATTCCCGAGACCCACTGCCTAGAGGTCACTAACGACGAACCTCTCGTAAGCATCCAAGGCAGGTAGGACTTCGTCGTCCGCCAGGACGCCATCCTCCCTGTCAACCTCCTGCATACCACGCTTAAAGACTTCGGTCTGCCGCTCCCGAACTATCTTACAGACCGTCCGAATCCGTTTCAGACGACCCGTAGCATCCGCCATTTGAACTTGCAAACGAGCAAACTCTTGATGAAGCGCGAATAGCTCCTCACCCGCTTTCTCTTCTTTCTCATCCCACTCCTTTTGCTAAGAGTTCAACTTCTGAACTAGAAGCAAACATTAGCAACCCCCAGAACAGCGAAAACACAAAAACACGACTTACGAGTAGACGCCACGAGGACGCCGTCACAAGGTTTCTTCGCCTCGATGCAAGTCCTACAGCGTGTAGACTTCTCGCCAAAACGACACGGGACCTTTGCACGGAAACAACGAGTGCAAGGCATGTCGCTAGCAATCGATCGGGACTCCACGTATTCAATAAGCGCAGCTCTCTCACGATCTTTTATCACAGTCAAGTGCGACTTTGTCTTTCGAACGCGACCTGACATGGTGTCAGCATCATGAAAAACAAAGGAAGCAAATTTGTGGATCCCCAACCTGGGACTAACGACCTACTTATACTCAGGTCTCGAGGACAAGACCTTTAAGAGGGGAGCTGATGTTACGACCCGACAGTTAACAGACCACTGACGACGACCCCGCAGGGGCTCAGCGGTTATAGGGACGGCCGTCAGCCGTTACGTCGTAACAACCCCCACGGAACGGAAGAACTAGGATACAGGTCACGTGACGATAAGCAGGACCGACGGACGATAAGCGGTCCTGGGACAGGACCGACGGTGCCAAGGGCGGTCCATGGCGATGGACCGACGTCCTGGGTGTCGGTCCCCCAGGATCAGGAAGTGTTCAGCATGGAACCAGACTTGTATATAGTTGGGACTCGAGTCCTCTCGAGTCCTACCTTTCCTAGTTCTTCAGCAATCAACTTTGTGATTACCCTAACCGGTACTTTCAGCTATACCTAAGTGACGACTACTCTACGACTCTTGTTGAGGCCTTGACTGATCACCAAGACCTTTGAAGATCTACGATCTATTCGACCAGGACCACGGAACGACTGTTACTACTCTCAATCCCTGGCTTACTGTTAACACAAACCCACTGTCAGTTAGCTGGCCGTAACAGTAAGGTATTATAATAGTCTATATAGAGATTTACGAAGGAGAATAAGAAAATATAGATATTAGTAAAAAAATACAAATTAGGTATCTTAAAAAAAACCTAAAAACGCAAGGGTATAGATAGTCTTACGCTTCTATATAAGGTATTAAACCCTATATAGAAGTACCCGACTTATAAACTAAAGTTACTAACTATAAACGCTTATATCTATCTTCTTATTCTTATAAGTATACCTATCGTTTCTATATACTAGATTCCCGATTCTATACGCCTTAGTAGGTATTTATAGCATTATATAAATATATGTTTACGTTATCTCTAGTTGTTATACGGTTATATAGGATTTTATAAGGTCTTGCTTAGTCGTAATAAAGCTTAATCTCGATGTTTTCGTTCTTATCTATATATAACTATAGTTAGTAAAGATATATAGACGGTATTAGATATATATAATAATATACTATACTTAATATTAGCAAGCTTGTCTATAATAGAAACTAACGTATTTCTAATAAGTCGTATATACTTAGGCTTAACGCTACGGACCGCGTTAAGAAAGTTATACTCCGTACGGGAGATGTATAACTTCTTACTACTCGGGGCGGAAGTATAAATCTCTACGGCAGGTCGCTTCGAGGGGGACGGGGCTATATAGAATAGATTAGATTTATATTTAGTTATATATAGGTTAAGACGAAACTTACTAAAGCTATAGTTAGAAACGCTAGAATTATATATATAGTTAGTATAGCTAGCATAGCCGTCTAGAATAATATAGGTATTATATAGACTATTACCTTTGATATAGTTCTTATACTAGTCCTTACCCTCGCGCGTATTTCCGTATATATATATAAGGAAAGAGTTAGCATTCTACGCATGCTTATACTTAAGCGCTTTTTTCTATCGTCTTCCGTTCTTAACTACAAAGTAAATATCGATTAAGTTATAAGCTTATATAATATATAAGTAAAAAAGTAAGGTATATACGGAGGTATAAAGAGACTATACCTCTGCTTCTTTATTATCTAGAATATTATTAATAAGAGTATTACTAATATAAGGAATACTATTTATAATAAGTTAGTATAATATTATAAGGGAATTATAAAAGTATATATATAGGTAAGGTAGTAGCCGGTTCCGAGAGCATAAGTATATATAGAGGGTAGCTCGGCAGGCAACTCCGTAGGAATCTTTATATCTCCGATCTTATCTAGTATAAGCTTAGCAGCTAGCTTTATATCTTAAGCTATAATATACGGTAGTATAAAGTAATATCGAGTATCGTTCGGGATTATAAAGATGTTATAGGATGTTATAGGATGTTATAAAGCTTTGCTAGAAAACTATACATAATATAACGGGGGCGACGCCTAGCGCCTAGGGATATATAAATCTATATAAAAGCTAATAGTTAGTAAATGATTATATAGAAATATATAAAAGCTTAAAAAATCGGAAAAAAAAATCAAAAATAGAGAAGATAAAAGAAAACGGAAGTATAATAAAGGATAAAAACTAAATCTTTATAAAACAGTATAGAAAGCGTTATAAATTTCTATATAGTAAGGGTTATATACCTAAACTCTGCTTAGCGTAAGGAAAAGGAAGAAGTTCTAAGCCTTACTAAATTCCTATTTATTTATCGATTTATACGCATAGACTATATACCTAATTAACCGGAACCGGAAGATCTAACCTCCGACGGATTATTATAAAGCCTCGTAGGGGGCTATGGTTCTATATAGTAAACCCTTATTTCCTAAAAAGGCAAATACCTACCTAGAAATATATAAAAACAAAAATCGTTTTACGCGAGATTACATATGTTTACGCTTATAGGGTGTTCCTATCACTACCTTGAATTTTGACCCAGTGCGCCCTGCGGACTGCCGTAGTGGACCTGTCACGGCCAAGACATTTGGCCTGCAGCTGCTCTGAGCTGACTTGTCAGCTGGAGCTGGAGCTGGAGCTCCGAAAGCTCAGCCACAACAGCACGTGACAAGGAGACTTGCTACTGACGTCATGACGACACATGCTAGAGACACAAGCTCCTGCAGGGAAGGTGAGGGCGGGAGCGATACTTGTTTACGTACAACCGCTGTCCTTTTTTAGTTTCTTGCTTCTTGCCTTTGTCATAGAAATGTCACTTTAATTAATAAAAAGAAGGTGAAAATAACAAGGAAAAGCCTAAAAGAAATACTCAACACACAATTCAACATATCGAAATGAGCTACGCGTTCCGTCGCGTATGCCTGCAACTGCCTGCTAATATCAGCACCAAACATGGACTGATGTGTCAAGCTTTCCGCCCAGCCGGAATCGGCATCAGCACGCGAATCCCAGCTACAGGGCGCATGTTCGGCAACTCAACGGTACACCGAGCCGACGTCGAGGATGCCAAGGCTAAGAAGACAAGTCGTGAGGATATGGAAAAGGAGGAGTTGAAGGGGCAGGAAGAACGCGACGAACAGTTTGCTCTGAAGAAGCAGAAGGAGCGTCCGTGGCATCGTATAGGCCACGAGGTCGAGCAGCGAGTGTCGTCCAAAGATCCCACTAATGGTGATAAGACCCGCGGTACGTCTGAACCTTTGAATAACGACTTGTTCGCCTAACTTACTTTATGCTAGGACGATTGCTCACGACCCCGACGCGGCTTCTAAAGCTTATTCTGCCACTCCCTTTTTACGCCGAACAGAATAGAAGCAAGCAGTCTCCCGAGAAGGACGACGAAAAGGAGGAGATTGCTCCTCTTGCGCTCCTTGTCCATCCCCAACAGCCACTTTCCTATCTCGAAAGGTTACTTCAGGCGGAAATCCCGCCCATTGACGACGGCAAGCGGGAGAGAATTCCTAGGATATACTTCAGGGCAGAGGCGGACCACAAAGAGACCAAGCAAGATGAAGCTGCCACCAAGAAACAAGAAGGCAACGTAGCCTCATACTCGGGCCTTGGTCACGAAGGCCCCAAGAAAGACCACGACGAAACCAACTGGGTCCGTTGGAGCAGCAGCACGGAGGTTGGCGATTTCATCCGGGACGCTGCTCGTGGACGTGAATTTGCCATCGGCATCGAGGGCTATGACCAGGAGCTACGCGTAGCAGTACCGAGCTTCAATGACCGGACGTACTACATGAGAATTAGGCTGCGCAAGATGTCACGCAGGATCGAGGAGCTGGCGAAACTCAAGCAAGAGTGCGACACACTGGCTCACCGCGGCGCTCATCGCCTCGCGCAAGGCGGATTCGGAGTGCTCCTAGGGTGGTGGGGAGTGGTGTACTATGTCACTTTCCACACAGATTTTGGCTGGGACCTCGTCGAGCCGGTGACATACCTTGCCGGCCTGACTACCATCATGGGCGGCTATCTTTGGTTTCTTTACATCTCTAGGGACCTCAGCTACAAGGCAGCGCTTAATGTGACGGTGTCAAGACGACAGCAAGCGCTGTACCATGCACGTGGGTTTGACCCCCAGATTTGGGAGCAACTTGTCCAAGAGGCCAACTCTTTGCGACGCGAAATCAAGCTAGTGGCAACCGAGTACGATGTCGACTGGGATGAGACCAAAGACCTCGGTGGCGAGGAGGTACAGGAAGTACTGGATAAGGAGAAGAAAAACAACCAACGTAAGAGGAGCGATGAAGACGAAGAAGACGACGACGATCGCGCGAAACGCGAACGTAAGGACAAGAAACAACCGAAGAAAGGTCCGGAGGGCGATGAGAGCAAGAAGGCGTCATAGAACTTTCCATTTCATTTGGAGGAACATACCCTGTACAGTATAATTTATCTTCCATGGCATGCCAAGCGCGACAGAAACTAGCATTTCCTGGCGTTTGATGGTAACAGAGCGTTCAATTTCGTCATGATTGCGATTGATGTCGAGGTGAAGAAATGATGACTTCAAAAGTATATGGGTCATTGACTCCCAAGGCGACAAGATGGGTGAGAAGAAAGAAAGTAAGCAAAGACAAATACCAAGCCCCCATCAGGAGACAATGCGGTTCAATGTAGGGTGAAATGTCGGATGGTTCTGTTGTCAGGTGTGACGCTGGCCATTTAGGGTAGACAATTTTTTTTACCCTTTTTTCTTTTTTTCTTCAGGCCCATCGGTCAGCCATCAGCATAGCGCAGCTAACGGATGATTTAGGTAATGACGAGCACATTACCAAAGAAAAGCAGTCCACTTTTTGCCGGTGTAGGGCAGCGGTGGTCGACGCCGAAAATGTCTGATTGGTCGATCTCACCGAGCCACAAAGCCCTGGCTGTCAGCTACAGGCAGCTTGCCTGTACTTTAGTAGGTCCTGGTCGCTGAAGAGGAGCTTTGGCCCCCTCTAACATGTTAGCGAGCCACCAGCAACACCAACTAGTTCCTTATCGGATTGGGTTGCACCCCGCTGCGGCTGCCAACGGGAGAGCTTCACCCCACATGATTAACGCATCATCATGCCACCACCCAACCAACAGGTCCCTGTTTGTCAGAATCTCCCAACTCGCCATATAGAACGTCACTGAATGGCTGTTTGCTTGTTCCAAACGGAGTTCTAGAAAGGAGTCCCCAGATTTGACCTTAGCCTCATTCACCGGAGGAAGTCTCGCGACGTCTAGCCATCGTGTTGAGGCCGAGTACTTAAAGATATCGCTCTCGGAGCTACCAACGACCCCGCCATCTCCCACTTCTGGGCCGCCTTATCTCCTCCTTCTGCTTACCACCCCGAACAAGAACCTGCGACAAACCCCGATTGGAAGCACCACACCAAAGTTGGGATACACACCCATACGCTACACCGAGTGACCTTGTTCACCGTGCTCCAAGCGACCCCTCCCTTTCCCCTCCCCTCCAAGTGGCCCAAGGTGGTAGCTGCCCTTCGGGTCGTTAGCTCCGCTCCACCTTTACCATGCCTCCCCAAATCATCCACCTGCCTGACGGCCAAAAGTTTACAGTCACACCAGTCTTTGCCGGCCTCTTCTTCAAATCTCATGATCTCAACATTCACAAGAACCCTTTTCCTATCGGCTGGACCATTGTGCTAAACACCGAAGACGACGATACCGAGCCCTTCGGAGATGGCGTCAATGGCGTCGATGGTGACCTGGAGAGCGATGAAGAGCGCGCCCGCGCCCATACCCGCCGGCATATACACAGCTTCAAGCAACCTACTCTTCAAAACGATAACCTCTTCATCTCGTCCATCTCACAGCCCTCGAGCTCCGAGTTTAAGCCCGCCGCAAGCCCGACGCGCCAGATCGCCATGATGCTCTGGGTTACCCTCTACTGGTACTTCCACCAGCCCAGGCCCTCGCCTTATCTTGTCACCGACGCATCGCGACTCACTCCCGAGGAGGCCCGGCCGAAAGGCGAGTGGCGTATCAATATCAAGCGCGACGGCGTGCTGCGCGGGAGGAACCTGATACCGAAGCTGGCACGGATGGGCCTGATTGCTTCGCTGGACTCGGCTGTAGGCACGAGGCTTGAGGATAACGGGGAGGAGTGGTCGCAGATGTTTGTCTCGCGCCAGATGTTCTGGCAGATTCCTGGCCGCTTGTTCTTATTTACCTTACAGCGAACTGGTGGTAGCGCCGGATCGTTCCCTGACTCTCCGTCAGGAAGTAGACCAACTTCGCCCGCTCGCGCCGACTCCATAAACTCCCGCCACCACACTCCAATACACTCCCCTCACCCTTCGACGGGAAGTCGCTTTGACACAGACCTCCCTGGCGGACCGCCTCCAATGACAATGGTCACCCTGCCCAGCTTTCCCATCGGTCCGTTCTACTCCAGCTCGCACCTTCCGACCTATTATCCACCTGCGCCCCTGATGTACACGGTTACGAATGGTGTTCGGCACCCAATCCGCCCAAAGCCAGCGCGCATGGGTGAGGTCTTTTACTCCCGCTATATACCAAGCGTCGGCCAATATCTGTCCTTCCGCGTCGCCTCACTTGCACCGACACCCGTGCCCTATATGGGACCAGTAGGCCCTAAGCCGGCCGAAAACACCCATTTATCAAACCTATCCGATACTGCTCTGTTGCAAAAGTGGCTTGCGAATCCCCGGGTTCAGCAGTTCTGGGGTGACTACACGCCGAACTTCCTCCCCGATGCTCTCAATGCTCGACATTCGTTCCCGGTGATTGGTATGTGGGACGGGGTGCCGTTTGGCTACTTTGAGATATACTGGGTCAAGGAGGACATCCTGGGTCAGAAGCTTGGCAATGATGCCGACAACTGGGACCGCGGAATCCACCTCTTCATCGGCGAGGAGTGGGCCCGGGGCCGGGTGCCGGCGTGGCTATCCAGCATTGTTCACTGGTGTCTGACCGACGACTACCGTACGATGCATATTTGCTTAGAGCCGCGAGTAGACAACGCGAGGTAAGCTCCAGACCCGATCACATACAGGCTCAGCCATGCGGAAAGATCGGTATCATGTTAACAGGTGTCACTAGGTTCCACCAGCACTTACAAAGTGCGGGCTTCGCCAAGGAGCGGGAGATCGCCTTCCCTCACAAACAGTCTTATTTCATGCGGATGAACAGAGACGCGTGGGACGGGCCAGCTTTGTGATGAATTTGATACTTGATTTTAACACGTTTACTGAAAAGGTGGCTGCCACTTGAGAGCTTGGAGTTGACAAATAGGAGTTGATTTGATATTTTCTTCGTCAATTTGTTGCATTGGAGTAGCGAGCGGTTGATGATGCTGGTTTTACCATTCGATAAATAAGATTGGAGATACCCGATATTCACCTCAGCTCAGAAGGGTAGATCAATTGATTAAAGAGTGATTCTTTACAATAAATACATACATCTATATCAAGTCGTTTTGTGAGCATCTGTCCGATGTGTGAGTACTGACTCGAGATCTGCGCCGCTGGAAGCCACTTCTAGCCACAACGTCACAATGCAGTGTTGGTTCGAGTGGTCTCGACAGGGGACTCCCAGCACTGCAGCTTCAGTGGGTGGGGCCAGTGACAATTCGCTGTGCTAGGGGGGGCCAGAACTGAGGAACGGCAAACTCCGGGCGGACTGCGCTGAGACACGGTTATCTTGTGACCGATGTCCGACAGCCCCGATAACCCATCAGATGCCAACACACCTCCCGAAACCAGCCATCCCCCGAACTCTGATTTCGCGATAAGAGCGTCTATCCGACCTCCCTTCCCCAACCGCTCCTCGATGTCTTCTTCTCGAGCACCCGTGCCGCAGGTGAAGACATGACCGGCCCATCGCCTTCGGCCTCCGGCCTCCTCCCCATGCCCGGCTCGCCGTCGTCGTCGTGGGCTCTCTACCGCTCCCGCCTATCATCACTGTTTCGCCATGCCGATACGCAGGTTATCGTGGCCTTTTGGCTACTTGGTGCGCCTTGCTTCTCTTTGCCTATGCTGCGACAACTGCCATTCTAACGCGCATCGCTTTTGTACTAGGCCTAATCAACAATGTTCTCTACGTAATCATCCTCTCCGCAGCACAGGACCTCGTCGGCTCCTCCGTCCCGAAAGGCGTCGTCCTCCTCGCCGACGTGCTTCCCTCCTTCTTCACGAAGCTCATCGCCCCCTACTTCATCCACCGCGTCCCCTACTCCCTCCGAGTCGTCGTCCTCATCGCTCTGTCGTGCTGCGGCATGCTTCTCGTCGCCCTCACCCCTCCGACAAAATCTGTCGCCGTGAAGATGGTCGGCGTCGTTATCGCGAGCCTCAGCTCCGGCGGCGGGGAGCTGAGCTTCCTCGGCCTGACGCACTACTACGGGCCCATGAGCCTCGCGGGCTGGGGCAGCGGCACCGGCGCCGCGGGACTGGTCGGCGCGGGACTGTACGTAGTGCTGACGGACTGGTGGGGATTCAGCGTTCGCAACAGCCTGCTGTTCTCCGCTTGTCTGCCCTCCATCATGTTCGTCAGCTTCTTCCTCATTCTGCCCAAGGGGCCCCTGAGGGCCGGCAAGAAGGAGTACACGGCGGTGCCGGAGCGGGATCTGGAGGACGAGGACGTGGATGAGCTGCCCCAGAACGCGGCGTCGTCGGCGTTGCTCGCGCCGGGTCCGTCGGTGACGTCGACGGCGTATTCTGTGGGGCACAATACCGCGATGCAGACGACGACGGCATCGCACAGCTTCGACGCAAACCTGCGACGGGCCAAGGCGCTCTTCTTCCCGTACATGTTGCCGCTGCTGCTGGTGTACATTGCCGAGTACACAATCAACCAGGGCGTGGCACCAACGTTGCTTTTCCCGCTGGATTCGTCGCCGTTCAAGGAGTTCCGCGAGTTCTACCCGTTTTACGGGTTCCTGTATCAGCTGGGCGTCTTCATCTCGCGGTCGTCGACGCCGTTCGTGCGCATCCATCACTTGTACTTCCCGTCGCTGCTGCAGGTGGGGAACCTCGCGCTGCTGACGGCGCACGCCATGTTCGACTTCATCCCGTCCGTGTACATTGTCTTCATCATCATCTTCTGGGAGGGCCTGTTGGGCGGCGCGGTCTACGTCAACACGTTCGCGGAGATCATGGAGAAGGTGCCTGCCGAGGACAGGGAGTTCAGTCTGAGTGCCACGAGCGTGAGCGACAGCGGCGGCATCTGCATTGCGGGATTCCTTGGTATTATTATGGAGGTCCGGCTGTGTGATTGGCAGGTTTCGCAGGGCCGTGATTGGTGCAGGAAGATCAAGGTTGGTTGAAGCACTTGTAGCATACAGTATATAGCGATATAACTTTGGTGCATGATCACATGATGCTGTTCAGTGCAACTTTTGAAGGTGATGCAGAGATTATGCCTGGTTTAGTAAAGCATGACAGATGGCGGCGTTCTGGGCATCTAACGAGAAGGTACCCATATTCGGTACGTCGTGACATATTTCCTACCAGCGTCTGTAAATGATGTTTGTACCGCATCTTGGTTCCGTAAAGTATATGCATTATACAGATTACTAGCGATATGATATTTGAGATAAGGTCATATGATGTCGTATCTGTGCAATCTGTAAGCTGGTGTCTGAACATTACCTTGGTTTTCGAGATTCAGTGGGGAGGAATCTGGTACGATGCGATAAGAGACGGGGGGCCGGACCAGGACGATGACACACGGCTAGGGCGGGATATTTGACGAGATTTAGCAAAGCATCAGACGACCTTTTTTTCTTGGAGACAGCAAAGGAGAGAAGAAAAAGAACATCAAGAGCCAGCCAAGGCCCCTCCCCACATGTCTGCGACTCGTCTGCGATGCCGTTTCCATGTGGGCTTGACATGGTCCCCTTATGGTGACTACATCATCAAAGAACAACACCGACTGGTGGGACTCTTTGACGAAGCAAGGAAAGAAACGAGGAAAAAAAAAAAAAAAAGGAAGAAAAACAATGCGCCAAGGTAAGGGAGGTCCCGCGGGTGGACTCTTCCAGGGTGGTAAATGAGGCTGTTCCGACGTCAGACGTTGTGCCGTCGAGGTCCCACAATACTGGCAGATGGGCGGATCTGTGGTTTCTGGCATGATGGAAACAGCTCACAAAACATGCCATCGTCGCGACCCCCCCTTTCTTTGGCTTGTCCCGTTCGTAGAGATGCATGATAGCATCGGTCGAAGTTGGTACGATACGGTACGGTTTCTGAGTCGTCCGTAAAGTTTTGAAGGTTCGGAGGGAGTGAACATCTTGAAAGAATTTTGTTTGCTTCTTTTCCCCTTGGATCATGTTCTGACTCCATCCAATAGCGGTGTCAAGAAGGCTAAAGGTACCTAAAGTACCTAGAGTACACCAAGTAAAGGAGGGAGGGCCTTGGCGGAGTAAAATACAGATGGGCTAAGATCGGGCCAGTAACGGACGGTTTGGCTCACTGCACTGACCGCCTGGCGCCGTGTGTCGCTGTAAAAAGTCAGTCGGGCACCGGCCCAGAGTGGCAGCAGCAGCCAGGGAACGTGTCTAATCACTAACGGTTACAGTAGACTTGCAGCAGCGCCCAGCGCATACGCAACCCAGGCCCTGGACCCGAGAAATTTTCATTGCCTCATCTGTTTGCTGACTCTAAAATTTTCTTCCCTGATAGCGCGCACGTTTAGTTTCTTCATATGTAAAGGGTGTGTGTTCCGGTTCATATTCGCCGAGAAGATTCATCAGATTTTTTTCATCTTTGCTTTTCTCTTTAGGTGTTGCATACAGATTTCCCAGATATTTGCTGCATCTGAGATATCTCCTTGCTTTAAGGCTCCCTCGCCATATTAAACGGTGTTGTCATATATACAAACGCCCATTGTTACGGTCAGGCCTACACAGACAGGATACCTACACACTAGTTCTGTACTACAGCTCTCAGCCAACACAGAAAGCACGTAAGAACAGCGGACCTGCCAAGTCGTTCTAGATTTATTTCATCAAGTCATCGCCTATTACCGCCACTGGAGCCCTGCAGCTTTTTTTCCTTCGCCCCTGCCCTGCCAAAAATACGTCCGACCCTGCGCCGAACGACCGACCTCAACCCATTACCGTATTCGGCTGAGATAAGAGACAAGACCGATCTGATACCACCGCCGGCCGCCTTCCCTGATTCCCCTTATTACTCACCGCGTCTACGTTTTTATCACCTTCACCGGTTGTTTGTTTTCAATCTCGTCCTCTTTTTTACCGACTCACACGGAGGTCAATATCTTGTTTGGGAACTTCTTGAGTCACTCGAAAAGGAAGATTCTTGACCTACATAAATTACACTCCTCGCCTCACCTTACTTCCACTACTCCATATCACATCATCATCATCATCATGCCCGCCTCACCACCAGAAAAATTAGATCCTGTCGCCATGGACCTGGCCAGTATCGATCTAAGCTCTCCCTTCTCCCCGGTCTTCCACAAATTCAAGGACCTCCCTGCTGAGCTGCGCACCCGTATCTGGCGCCTGGCGGCTCCCAGAGCAACTGTTGTCGAGCGCGCCATGAACAACACCACAATGTCTTACACTCTCCGCCGCCACGCACCCATCCCCGCCGTACTCCACGCCTGTCGCGAGTCTAGGCTTGAATTGCTCTATGAGAGTGAAAGTCGTCGCGGTGCGAAGGATGGTCAGTTCGAAACCATGTACCTGTCTAAAGCGGACAAGGATGCCGGCAAGGGCATGTTTGTGAACCCCGAGAGTGATACTCTCTTGCTCTACAGAGGTCAGTTCTACCTCACTTTACACACTTTGCAAAGACTAACGAGAAGCAGCTCCCCACAAAGCAATCATGCCCGACGCCGCCAACTTCGCCAACCTTCAAAACCTCGCCATGGAGTGGGGTCTGAGGCCCTGCTGGGTTCAAGGACACTGCCACATGGGCGTTAAGTTCATTCAGCAGTTCTCTACCCTCAAAACTCTCACCCTTCTCGTCAGCTTCAAGGTGTACAGTGCTCTGCCGGAAGAGGACCCAAGCGCCAAGAAGCGCGAACGAATCCAGCGGCAACGTGCTCTTCATGAGATCAAGGGCTGGGTCACCGAGGCCATCGACGCCGCCAGAGAGCTAAAGCCCGAGTGGAACCCTCCGGAGGTCAGAGTCGTGCAGAGAACAAAGTATTGGAGTGGCGCCGCATCCGCCATCGATCTGAAGAAGATGGGTTAGGTGTCCATTGCTACTTCTTACTTTTGGAGCGATGACTCCTGGGCGGACATGGTGAGGCCCCGAATCTGGATTTGTCTCGGCAACCGAGGCCAGGCAAGACGCGACGCCTATATGGCGGACAATGCAGCTTCTTATATGTTTCACTGGCCACTGCCAAACAATTGAAGGCAGGAAAGGCAAGTGCTCCCAAAAGTTTTACGGCGAGGTACAGCGTTACGGAGGAGACGCATGAAAACTGCTATAATCACAAAAAAAGCGGTGACGCAATGTCGCAACCGGAGTTTTATCATTGCTGAGGCATTGGCATTTGGAACTTTGTTCTTTTTTTTTTTTTCTCTCCTTTATCATGACATGGTAACGAACGGGCATATGGGCATTTTGGCATTGCATTCTGGGTTTTCTGGGATGCATTCAGGGGGCGTACTAGATACCAAGATAGAACGAAGCGCCTCTCACAATTTTTTTCAGCGGATAATAAAAACAATGCTCTACTTCACTTCCCTTCACATCACTTAATTATCACTTTCGTAAATGTTTCTCTAGTGATGGAGCAGAAAAGCCGACTACAAACGCTGAGGTCCAAATATCATCTTGGCAAACGACGTCCTTCAAGGGGTCCCTCACTGTTACAGCCCACAGCAATGAGCCGCCGGAAACCCCCCACGGCCTGGCTAGCACCCAAACAACGGAATCCACAACCACGCGCGGGATGTATACTTGGCATACGAGCCCTGTCTCACTCCTTTGGGAAACTTGTTTGCCAGACACTTTGGTGTCTGGTTTCTCAATCTCCGAGGTGGCGCGGCGAGTGAGAGCTGGGTTTAGCGCTCGGGAATACGAAGGCTGGTCGGGCTCGGATTTGTTCGGGCGAGCTGACTGGTTTTAGGCATGCGGTGGGATGTTGCCACTAATCAGTTGACTGGTGACGGATTTTGAGATTTTGATATTTAGTATTGAGAATTGTTGTTTTCGTTTCGTTTGTGTTTTATTGTCTTTTGTGTTCATATTTTGTGGCCTGTGAATGAACATACCGTTTACCTCGTTCGATATTCTACTCCTTTGTACTCCATTCGAGCTTCTACCGTTCTTTTATATATGCCATGTTCTTTGATTTTTTGATAGACATTCAAAGAGTGTGATTGCTATGCCTAGTTACAGCCATCGTCGACGATGGACGTTGGAAGATACGACGCTGCAACAAACGGCAATGTTCTAGAACGCGCCACAGAAGCGTCAACTCGGAAAATTCTCCGGCCCCTGAATTGGATTTCCCCTCGTAGTGATTGGCAGAACCGTGTTAATCGTAGTGACATATATTTTTTGGGGAAACCTCGGTTGTGAGCTTCAAGGGCGAAAGCGGCACTGAGAGATGATGTACCTATGACGCATGTTGCGGCTCACAACCGCATGTGTCGTCACCATCAATTGAGCGGGCTTGTGCTCCGAACCACGACTCCAATCACCTTTCGCATTGATCTAGCTTCAATAAACACGACCATTGATACCGAAGAGAAAAAAGAAAAAACACTCCAGAGAAAGCAATAGCTCAAGAAACGAATAGTATACTTGCGGACGTCCTCAGCCTCGACTCCGATCACATCTATCCACGAACCTCAGACGTACACATCGAATCTCGCAATGTCCTACGCAAGAGCCCTCGCCGTCCGCCGCTTTGCGGCCGCCAGACCTCTTCCCCTCGCATCAACCCATGTGGCCGTAACGCGGCAAGTGAGGTGGACGACTTCCAGGCCTGACAACGACGATGGCGACCTCGGTGGCCCGGGAGGCCAGGAGCCGGTGCCTTCCAACAGCGGCATGTCGCAAAGCTGGTGAGTTTCCAGATGACAGGCTTACATACAAAAGACCGATTGCTGAGACTTTACAAGGCCCACGTTGGCGGCCATTGGAGGTGTAGGATTGCTCGTTGGAGGATATCTAGTTCACCTCACGGGTAAGCCCAAGGGACAGACGACGACTGTGGTTCACGGAGGCGAGCTAGATAGGCTTGCGGAGAATGCTACGCCCAGAAAGTGAGCCATTGAAGGTTTTCAGCGGCATTGTGGCCTTGGCATGGCTGTAGTCGATCGGGTCAAGGAGAGGCTACTCGCGATCGCGCCAGGCAGAGACTTAGTGTACGGTGCATACCGTTTTATGAATTGCCCATGTAGTAGTACATTGCCATCCTAATTTGTGTAACAACAAAATGCTAGTTTAAGAGAAAAAATATGAAGAAAATAAACGCTAATCATAGCCTCTGTCGAGGTACGGATGCGAATGAGGTTGTGATGCGCCTATGACGCATACGCGGTGCACAATTAATCCTCCCCTGCGCCGATATAACAGTGTCGTCACCACCGATGAGTAGCCAATGACCTCGGTAAATATCGATCCAGTATTTACATTTACCTGAGTTTTCTTTAATCCGTGGAACATACACTGTCTACAACTTCTATATCTCCACTACTGAGTTGGAATCACAAAACACCATAGCCCTTTGCAGAAACTCAAACCATGACTTCCGCAAGAACACTTCTTCCCATCCGCCGCATCGCTTTCACGGCCTCCACCGCTCCCACAGCGGTAGCTCGCCAGAGCCGCCTTGGACTCAGACATGCGCACTCTCACACGCAACCCAATGGCGAGGCGCCGGTACCGACTACCAGCGGCAAGATTAAAGACGCGTGAGTAAAGCCCTGTCCTTGTCGTTACCTTCCTACCAGGAACTCTCGTTAGTTGTTTGGATGTGGCATTCCAATGAGTTTCTCAGTTCCCGCGTGTGTTCCGTTATCAACTTGAGAAATACCGAAGCTGACTTGAATAGACCTGCACTGCTTGCCATCGGCGGTTTGGGTTTGCTGTTGGGAGGAGGATTGATTCATTTCTCAGCTAGACCCAAGGGACAACAGGAATCGTCTGCAGGTGGTCAGCTTGATAGTACTGCGGAAAAGATCTCTCTCAAGAAGTGATTTGCCCATGTACTAGAGATTGACGTTTAAATAATTAAAGCTTTGGTTGAACCGCGCATCGTTGAGCTGTGAAGTCTTGGTATCATCGAATAGGGTTTGTTCATATAGCGCTTGAGTCTTTTGAGCACAAGATTAAGCAGCGATATCAACGGAACGGTTGACAACTTTTGGATAGGAACTAGGTAAATGATGCCAAGCAAGCCGGCATGAATTTCATTACAGATTAGTTCAATTATCAATAGTATGCTTCTTCGTTCGATGTTTATACACTAGACTATTGTGTCCGCAGTGACAAATATGAAGCTTATGGCCGGCTGATTGCTGATTTGATGTAAGCAAGCGTGCATGCAAATTGGTGAAATTGTGCCTAGTTATCAAGCAGTAGGGTGCAAAAAACAATTCTCGTCCGCTAGCCAGTATAGTCACGTTCGCGTAAAAAACATGGTGTGTTCTGCTGGCCACCCTTAACAAAGTAGCGCTCCATCTAACAACTCACGAGGTTTCAATTTACTTCCTCTCACTGTAATTAGAACATGCGTCTGAGTCTGAAAGCCAATAGTCAACTGTGGATCTCACCCTCTATGAGCCGTTTGTTGTCTCCAACGAACATCCACCAAGCGGGGCTTAGCCCCGTTGCTCCCCTTGGTGTAGTTGGTTCATCACGTTCGACTGTAATGGTATATCCACATTCATCGAAAGGTCTCTAGTTCGATTCTGGAAGGGGAGACACCAAATCTTTTGCTTTTTGTATCGAGTGTTGATTTTTTTTTCATTCCTCATCAGGCGCAATAAGGGTAGTGGGCTACATGCTTGTCATCAGGGAGAAGACCTATGGTAACAGGGCTCCAAATCAGCGTTGAGGTCCTTAGAAACGGCAATCCAAACAAACTCTGGACAAACAAATGTGCGGTTTAAGACGACTTGAAATGTTTGCACTGGAGATACTTCTCCGTGCACTTTCACAGTCTGCACATCGTGACAAGTATTATGGCACTGTTGGCATTAATGTCGACTAGAGGCTGCCAGGTGGTCTGCTGACTGCACAGGAGCAAGTCTGCCGAGGACATCTTGGTAAAAGATGCGAACAGTTGTTTGAATACTTGTCTACTCCTTGCTATGATGCCGAGACGAAGATTACTCGCTCCTGAACAAAGAAGGGTAGCGTCCTGAACTGAATGCTTCAATGGCAGTAATTTCGCATATAACTAAGGACAATCACTTCAGAATTAGAATTATCTTCGCGGGAATAAGGCGACCTGAATAGTTCTCGCAAGCTCAGACATGCTTACTATTTCTTAAGGCGTACTCCTCACCAAGCTCTTAGCCTCTAACCAGTAAAGGTAGTGCTATGTCAAGAACGTGTAAACTTGGGTACATCATTTGTCTCCGGCCAATGTCCTATCACCGAGGTACTCAACTCACGCTAGGTTTTCCGGCTCAACTGGCCGATACTCGGCCGTAAGAATGCGATGATTTCTTGCATAGATCAATTTTAATAGATATGGAAATTCAAACTAGAGTATGCTTTTAAGCTCATTCAATACAGGGGAAAGCCTTCTAGCTTAATTTTCGTATGTCTTTTGGAAATAAAGTCACTCATAACCACTGGTAACAAAAAGTATCAGCACCGGAAAAGGAATTCAGTTCAAGGGACAAAAAACATACTTTCCCTCATGATTTTCCAGGTATTGACAGCTTTCTCATGAATGAAATAGCCAAGACAGTCAAATTATCTACAGATATTAAACCCAACTTGTTATCCACGTGCAAATCCATCTATGAGATGACAATTTCTCAAACGCCCTCGTTCGCTGTTTTCATCAATCAGGGCTTTGCAGTGAATAGCAGTCATCAGAACTCAGGTCCATTGATCCAGCGGTCAAGGCGATTACGTATTCCATGCACGCTACGCGGACGGTCACCAATACCTAATATCTGCACAATGTCTAGTCGGTTGTTTGTCTGAGAGTCTAGACGATGGTACTGAGGAGGATGTTGAAAGTGACCAGGAGAGGTCTGGACGCGAGAAAGCTGTAGGCATTCATTCTGGCCGGTGTATGCTCGGTGAGGGGTTGATGAAGTTCGTTGTCGGCGCTGAGGCTGCATCTGAGCTCGGAGAGAATGTTGGAAATGTTCGCGTGGCGACGAGTGTTCTCGGTAGGAGGGTGGAGATGAAGACGGTAGCCGTGGAAGGGGACGATGGGGAGGCGACATATCTGGCGGCAATGGAAGGTGGCGCCGATGGGGTGGTGTCCGTTGGTTCGAGGAATCGTCAAAAAAGAATTCGGAAGATTTACGAGATTTTCCCCGGCAATCGGTACAATCATGAACATAAGCCTCGTCGAGATGTCGTCGGAGGGTCTTTTTACACCACTGTCCCGAAGAACGGTCTAATCGAGCGAATTCGTGCCATCCCAAGCAGCGTTCTAACGTCGAGGTGTAGAAAAGCGTTTTGCCGCAGCTAAGACAGTATTCAATATCCTGGTTAATCTGGCACATGGCTAAATATCGGTCAGTAGAACGTGAGATGTCTTGTCTGTTGGTTTGACAATTGTCAGCTTGTCAGTTGCTTTTGTTGATGCGGTTGGTACAGCGCAACAACCAGCTACTTGCAACATGCCTGGACTTATATACTACCTTTGGAAATACTACTTTCATCGTCTAAGTTCTCTCTCAAAAGATTCTGCAATTGTGAGTCTTTCTTGCCTGTTTATGTTCCTGAATAAAGCTGAGAACAGAGTTGTGAAAGCTCACATGTTGCAGTTTTACTATTGAACAAAGCATATGATAGTACATGACACGGCTATTCATCAGGAGCCGAATGTTTTTTCTTGTATTACTTCACTTTACAAAAGAAATCGAGATTTGTGGTATTTTGTGTCTAGATTTCAAAAGGAATGTTTCTTGCATGTTCTCTACATATATGTCACATTATGAAAAAGAACTATCCAGAACGTTGGCAATCCAAGTCTTCAGAGTTCGTTCTGATAGAAACAATGTAACTTCTCATGGGCTTGAAATGTGACAATGAAAACAGATGCGTGTTTTGAATCATAGAGGACAATGGGGCTAGGGTTCTGCGTAAGGGTGGAACGTTCAAGCAAACAGAGAGTCAATTCTTCCAAGTCTACACTGAAACTGTAGGTTTCACAGGGGGTGAAACAGGGGGTGAAACGGAATTCCGTTCGTCAATAACAAATAACAGTAAATTGGTTCTAATCGATGGTTCATGATGATAGTTGAAAGTGGTGTTGTTGACTAGAAGGTGGGGATATTCCCCCTTGGCCTGTCACGTGGGTCTGGGAGGCTTGGGCCTCTCAGCCTGGCGGGCGTGTGGCTGGAAGTGCCACACGGCTCCGTATTCCAACTATCGCAACACTGGAAACTCTCTTTTTATGGTGTTGAAGCGGTTGGAATACGTTGTCCCTATACAGTTCCGTCTCCTCGTCAATTCGGCCTCCTATCCCTACTTTCTCCCGTAGTTACGGTCTTGTTACCCATCCCTCCATACGTATCGTTATCGTGTTGCTATCAACGAATCTCTCGAGGGCTCGATTTGGTTTGCTCTTCGTGAGGGCATCAGCAGGGTTGTCTTCGCCGTTAATCCAACGAATTTCTTGTAGTTCTCGTCTTTCGTACGATTGTCTCAACGCCATGATATCGATCATGAGTCGCTTTTCTTTGGTAGTGCCCAGCTTCACGAGACACTCGTACAGCGAATAAGAATCGGTACAGACAACTGTCTGAATCGTTGGTAGGTTGAGGTGGTCAGTGATTGTCGCCAGGGTTGTGGCGAGGGCGTAGGCCATATCGACGCCAGCGACCATCCCGTAGATCTCTGACGCTAATACGCTGCGGGTGACTCGTTTACTCTTCGTAGAGCTGTAATGAACGAGGTTACCGTGAATCGTGAATTCTCCGTTGTTGCTGTCAGAGGAAGTGTCGTTGGCTAGGATGATCAGAAACCCTAATTGGGAGGAGAGGTCGTGGTTATTAGCGAACGACCCGTCAACGAAAACGAATAGCTTGGCTGTTGTAAGGTCGAGTGGGATAAACGTTATTCCTCGGTTAGGCGATTCTATTTGCCATCGAATCCGTTGATTCAGTGCTTTTATCGCTTCTGGCGAGGGGTCTTGGTGTTGGGCAGCAGTGGATAAATCGAAACAGGCCTCGGGTTGGCAAATTGACGCGATGTACGCCCCTCTGGCGCGTTGTTCGACATATTGCTGTTTTGGGTTGGGTTTAGTAGTCTCAATACATCGTAACTTCTTGGCTTGTCCCTTTTGCCTCAAATTGATCGAATTGTCGGTTGACAGCGCGATTATCCCTCCGTTGAATTGGAGGGGTTCGTCAATTGTGAGGATATTCTTCGCTTTTGCCGTAAAAGCCGCTTTTTCTAACTGTTCGTCTTCTAATTGTGAGAACGCCTTGTCTGACAAACCGAGGGTATCGTCGGTTTGCATGCCGATACAGCCAAAGTGTGGATTTTCGGTAGATGAGATCAATAGGCATGGATCGTACGAAGAAGTAACCATCTGGAGATTCTCTCTGTGATGCTTGTGATACGTTGCCCACCAGTGGGTTCCAGCTTCTGCGATTCCGTACAGAGGCTTCACAACCTCCATAATGGTCCCTTTTGGGTACTGGTCTTGAATTTGCTTCGGTGGGTAGGCGAGAATAGTGCGATTGAGCCTTGTGGAGGATTGAACGTAGGCTTGTGTGATATCTCGAAGCCATAGTTGTTTCCCTTCTCGTAGGAGTGACGGGGTAATTGACAGAATTAGCCGTTGACTCGCCCGCTGAATCGTTGGCGATTGGGTCAATATAGCCTTCTTGCTATCGTCGGCGTAACCCTGTATTACAAGTCTCGATTTCTCGTAGGGTTCGGTTGTTTTACCCTTGACTTCGTTGACGATACGAGATCGGAAGATTCGTACGTTCTGGTGCCTTCTCTTATTGAACTGGGTGAATTTGAACACTCCTCTAGCGATGAGGCTGTTGATCTCTTGTTTAGTTGACTGTTCGAACGGTTCGCCTGGTGTAGTAATAACACCTTCTCGTCGTAGTTTGATTGCCAATTCTTCGTCTGCTTGCTCCTTAATCGATAGGAATATTTGTTGATAATCCGGGTCATCGTTGAATTCCTCTGTGAAGTGGGCGATTGGCAGTGGTCTCTTCCGGGGTCTGCCCGGGCGTCTTCTCGGTGGCTCCGGTGCCTCTTGCGGTTCGTCCGGTTCACTGCCTCCGCCGGCGACGATAATTTCGTCGCGTACTACTTCCTGCTGCGGTATCTCAGCTTCGGGTTCTTCTTCTTCTGGCGCGGCGATGGAATTAGGTGGTTGATCGGGATCTTCGTAGTATGGTTTGACTACGGTAGACCGGAAGGTCTTCGGACCACGTGGCGTATCGACAGTACAGGTTTCGCCGTTTATGGCTGCTAAAGTAAACGGTCCGGTCCAGCCCTTCTTTTCGCGTACATCGTACATATCGCCGCTGTATTTCATATCGTCGGGGTATAGTTTCGCGAATTCTGTTAATTGCTTTCCGATACGGTCTGTTGACTCGTATGGTTGGAAGTCTGTTAACGGAGAGACCGTGGGATGTGGCGGTCGGTACGGTAGTTGCCACTGTTGTTGTTCTTGTGGAGGAGGTGGCTGTAGGGTTGGTTCGACTCTTCCTCCTGTGCTGTTGGCTACTGTTGCCGGTCTCGTGATCTCTTCGTGGAATTCGGGGTCTTTTATCAGAGCCTTCAGGTTGCGATATCTCTTGACGCCTTGTTCGAGTTCTTGGGGTGACCAGTAGTGGAATTCTTCCTTTTTGAGGGCTAATGCCACGTTTTTCGAGATTTTCTTGCCATCCATTTCGACGTAGACGCCGTTACCGATTAAATGGTCTCTGAAGAATCGTAGGATTGGGGGAGGTACGTTCTGGAAGTCTTCTTCTGACCAGTCGGCGAAATCGGGAGAAACTTCGTTCCATAGCTCGAGGCCCGTGAGATTCCTCTTCTCATAGGTCTCAAGTAGGAAACCCATATAGGAACCCAGTTGCTGTGGGCTAGCGTTTGTAAGGTCGATTGCCCAGTTGCCCCATACTGCTGGATCGATCATACTTTCGATTCTCTGTGGGATGGGGACTGTTGATTGGCTTTTGGCAGTGACGCCGCTCGCGGGCGATCCTTCTCGTGAATTTCGCTCCATTCTGACAGTATAAAAGGATTACTTCTGTTTAGAATCTTGAATTCTAATCCTCAACAGCGTCAGCTGCGATTGGTGCAAGATGCAGGCCTGGAAGTGGGAGTCAAAAGACGATTCGGGATATTACGATTCTAAGGGGAAAGAATCGTGAAATCGGGGATTTTCGTCGGTTCGTCGTTTGTTTCCGTCGGCGCCGTTCTCGCTGATGTTCTCGAGGGGTGTGAGGGTATACACAGGTCTCGAATTGGTAGGGAGAGAGTTCTACCGTAGATTCTCTCGTGAATCTCTCTTTCTCGCTTCGGGCTTCGCTCCTCACTGTTGGGAAGTTTAGAATCTAGCGGACAGTTGGCCTTATGACGCCCACAACCACGTGCGTTTCTCCTAAGCCGCAGCCTCGGAGGCGTATACGTATAGCTGTATAGGCGGATTACCGCCGGTAGTCTCCGCTCGCCTTTCGGCGTGTTCTTCTTCTAGTGGGGAGGTCTCTTGTGGCAGGCGCCTCGCGGTTGGCACCTCGTCTGGGGATTTATTGAGAAACTAGCGGGCGCCTCGTGATTGGCACCGCGCGTGGGGGATAGTTGTAGTTGGGGAAGTTGTTATCCCTTGTGGGATTCGTGAATCTTCGCCCTTGTGGCGTGAAGAGGTTGGAAGACCGTCGATTCGGTAGGTCTCTTCTTCTGGTGATTGAAAACGCGTGATGGAACGCTCTTGCCAGCGATAATTGGCTGCGATTAACCTTATCCCGCCTAGGGTGAGCGTAGCAGTCCCTAGGTTACTCGAATAATCGGATTGCTGGTAGATTCGAGGAAAAGAAGCTTTCTTCTGCTGGTTTCCGTAGATCCCAGTTACTCTCGCTTCTTCTCTCGTTAGCACGAAATCCCTACTTTTACCTGGGCTTGGGTATCCAGTTCAAGAAGTCGTCTCTTCTGGTGTTGACCTTGCTGATCTGCGGTTTGTCCGTAGCAGAGTGGTAATTGTGAAGTTAACCAAATTAATGGCAACTGTGAGGTTTACCACTGATCAGTGTAGGTTTCACAGGGGGTGAAACAGGGGGTGAAACGGAATTCCGTTCGTCAATAACAAATAACAGTAAATTGGTTCTAATCGATGGTTCATGATGATAGTTGAAAGTGGTGTTGTTGACTAGAAGGTGGGGATATTCCCCCTTGGCCTGTCACGTGGGTCTGGGAGGCTTGGGCCTCTCAGCCTGGCGGGCGTGTGGCTGGAAGTGCCACACGGCTCCGTATTCCAACTATCGCAACAGAAACAGCTCGCCTACCGCGCTGGCGCCATGAAATTTGGGAAAGTTCTCCAAAATCATTGACTGGGGTAATCGCTCGTTGCAGATTAGAGAGCATCCCACCTACGCCCAAATCACACCAATGATCATCATCGGGCTGCGCGCAATATAACCACCGAAACCTCGGTCTATCGATCAAAAAATATCATCGTATACTAACCAATCATTTCCCTTGAGTTTAGCCCCGCAGAATCCTTTCCCACCGTTTTAGCGTCTTGGGGACATGGAGACAGGCCTTCTGCTGCCTCAAAAGTCCCGTTGTTAGTGAACTTTAATCTGGAACCGTAGTCCCCCAGCCTTACATGGCCTAGTCCAGATCCTGGTCATTCCTTTGGAATTGCCGTTAGTTGACCTAGCCTGAGAAAGGGACGAGGGTAAAAGCACGGTTCATAACTTTCCGGGTGTGAACTAATCCATGATCTCAATGGCGGGGCCTGCAAAACCTTTTGACGGACGTTATCCTGCATCCGTGCTGGGTTCCCGCTCCATCCAGGCACGATCCGAAGAGTACAGTGAGCATGGCTTGATATAACATATCTGCAGCCACTATAGGAACACTCCTCTTCTCTTAGCTCTCTTGGCCCCCAAGTGGCTCCGAGTAATTGACCTACCATCTCCCAGAAATCACGAAGACCCCCAATGGGCGTGTTTTATGACAGCAAGAAGGGGGGCTTTTCCATAGGAACTCCATCCATGCTCTTCGGATTCGTAATGACCTAGGTCCACTCATGGCACGGCAAAGTTTCTGTTTAGAGGAACTTGCATCCATCTCCCTAACTTTCACCAGAAGTTTAGAGCAGGTTTCCCCTCGCCTCGTCAGAGTTCATAGATGACCCATGCTTCAAGAATTCCATGGCGACGCGGAGATATTCCTCCAGGATATGCGATCTTAAGCATGGAATTTCGTCAGCTCTATCTTATCACAGGCCAGCATAGAATCTTTTGCCAAGCACGCGGAGTTTTCGCGTGCCCTGAAGCTGGGGTGTGGTACCAACAACACTGCCCCCCGATGATCAGATTTAAATTTGCAGCAGGAGGTTACATTGGCATCGACATTAGCCTTCCTTCGGGATGCGAGAAGAGCTCTTATTCATTTTGGGCTAATCTTTGTACTGGATATGTGGAATCCTACTGGAGGTCGCTTCAGGGAAACTTTAGAGTGGACTTTGACCTGCTTGTAACCAGGCCCGGTTCCAAGCACCGACATCCTCGATAGTCTGGTCTCGTTTAGAAAGGCTGGGTTCAACACTACTGTTAATAACACATGTGATGTGATGTTCGGAAATCTTGGTTCCATTCTTTCCGGAAGGCGATTAACATCGGTGCGGATTAGGCTCCGAAAACGCAAGGTGGTTTGGCGGACCAGCCACTCAAGATAGCAAAGTAACACAGCCTAAACCCGTTTCGTAGACACAAGCCAGAGGCGAATTCAACCGTTTCAATCGAAATAATCCAGCACAAAAAGGTTAGAGAGCAAACACATACCACTATATAACGGACGTATCAAAGCAGCTGCGTGTAAAAAGGTGACAGGCCCCCAAAGTTTTTTTAAGTTTTTTTTTTTTTTTTTTTTCTTGAGACATGTTAGAAATAGAGAGCCTGGTTTAAAGACCTTACTCAAGTTCGGTGTCATATTATCTTTTTTAATCCATCAAAAATTACACTCTCATTCCGGGTGGTCTCAACCTTAAATTTAAAATAATCTGTTTCAGTAAATTCTCAGCAAATCATTAGATTATATTACCGGCGCTGTTACTTCCAAATTCAAAGAAACAGCCAAGGTCATCGAGTCACGTAAGTGTGAAGAGGATGTGATGTCTTGTGTAACTCTTGATGTATATTCATTTGAATGTATTTAAACAGAGATTAGAATCGTTTGATACATTTTGATCTTCACGTTACTGTAGGTTAACTACTATAACGGTGATCCCGTATCATAAGATCGTTACACAGTATCTTAGTCCGGATCGAGTTATCAAGATTGACAGTTCATTGGACGACTGTAATATTTCTTAAATAGCAAGAACCGCTACTTGCATGACAAGGTAATCTTCAAACTGTATTTTTCCTCTTCATTATAAAAATAATAAGAAGCTTCTTCCTAATTTTAGATAATATACATAACAGTCTACTAAAGTTTTTAACAACCAGAAAGACATGATGCATAGTGGGTGGCTTGTAAATACAATGATGAATGAGTACCATGTAAGTTTAGTTTGAATTAACATTTCGTATTCAAACCCAGTAAATTTGGAGCACACGTCACTCAAGAATACTAGTCACACGGTTGATTTGTACCCACGCACTTTTTCAGCATTTCAAAATATCATTTGCACTCCCAGTTTTGGTTCAATTGTACATGATTTATGATATAAAATCCCCACTAGCTACTTTAGAGTGTGTGTTTGTATGTGTGTAGTACACTTCATAACTTGTCGTCAAATTCTTAACAGTACACAAAACCTGAAGATACTTGTTTATATCCTCAGATTTCCTACCGATATCCTTCACTCTTGGTGTTGTGCCAAAAGGCTAAAGCCTGTATGCAAGTCGCGGACCAAGGCCTTGTGACTAGCTTCTTCGGAGCCAGTGATGAGATTGGATGACTTCCTAATCATCTCAACCACCTTCAGAATATCATCTTGAGTAACAGGCTCTGACTTCTTGATCCAGCCAAGCTCCGATGGAAGCCGTTCGTTCTCTGTAACTTTGTGTTAGAGATATATGTTGCACACATATGTCGGCTGGTCAGCCATGGAAACTTACGGAAAAAGTATTCAACCATGTTCTTCTGAACAGTACCAGCATTCATGTCACCAAAGACGATGATAGGCGCAGCAACTTCGCCAAGACTGAAGTTCTCCACAGTTGCAGTGAAGGTGTAATTGGGGTTGAAAGCCTTGGAAGTGACTTGGCGTGCGACTTTGCTGTTTGCTAACATGTTGGCATCAAGGACATCGGCTGTCCAGTACATTCTCGACTCGTCAAAGACTGTCTGGTTGAAGATGTGGTTATTGCCGAAGAAAGCATCCGTACGACTAGTGAAATAAATTAGTACTTTGAGCCCAGTTTCCCATTGGTTCGCAGGGTGTTGATGTACCTGAGACTCGCATCGTGTTCTAAGACATTGTGGCGATTTAAATGGTCCCTGGTTTCACAGTCAGTGCTACAAGCCTCTTTGTTAATAACAGGTGCGGTTCTTACAAGGTAAAGAAGGTAGCGTTTGGCTCTGGGTTGGCAACAATAGCCATTTGAAACATGAGAACACCCAATGACTGATTGAAGTTGAGAGCGTCATTCAAAGCAGTAACAACCGTATCCTGCGTCAGGTTTCTGCCATCATGAGGGAGGAAACCATGGTTTGCTAAGGTGTTCATCATTGGACACGGCCCTCGAACTATATGAAGAAGTCAGAAAACAAGGTCTACCGCAAGTCTAGGTCAACACACAATCGTCAGGGCCAGCGGGTGCCCACTCGTTTGGCGAGGCTCGTTTGAAATGGGGGTTGTTCATCATCATCGTGTTGCTCAATTCAGGTCTTGCCAAAGTCGTCATGGCAAGCCCAAGAACCGTGGAGGTGACTGTGAACTTCATCTTGAGTTTGTTGGCGGTTATTGTTCAGTTTGATAGAGATAAAAGCGAGAGACAGTTAAGTTGGTTCAACTTGTTGATTTCCGTTTGATGAACAGCAACGCTCCTTTGTATTTATATTCAACAAGCCAAGAACATCGCTTCCCAAACGGCCCCCTTTTCACCGCTATGTTTAGTTTCACCTTGAGATCACCCAGTCATGGCTGGCTCCCCTATGGTGGCTAATGCAGAATGACAATACCCATATCCGCAAATCATCCTATCTAGAATCTCGGTCTCGCAAGGGCACAAGCCGTCATCGACCCCACGGATGTTTAACATTGGCCAATGAAATATTAGATGATTATAATTGCGCATGGATATCTTTGCGGAAGCAGTGGATGGCGACAGGCATGGGCGCAGCTATTCCCATTGACTGCCGTGCCGACCAGGCGACGCCAAGCCACTTCTATACGCGGAAAATGCTTAACGCTACGTCACGTCGTCGTGAAACACAGCATACACAGGCCAAATACGCGGAACAAACATAAGTGCTTTTGTTTACCAGACCTCATCTAAAACCATCCTTCTCCCTAATCTGAGAACGAATTTTCATAATACCATCGTAAACGGCAGACATTTGTCGTACTAGTCAGTTTCGACCTCGTCATTGTTTTCACAGCCCTACAGTCAAAACGCAGCTTCTGTCTCATCCAACCTAAGGAAATACACGTATATCGAGCCAATCACGGTTTTCAAGTTAAATACTCCACATTCTTGAATCCGAAAGATCATCAGTCCCTTTTACAATCAACTCTTGGTCCTTGCCGGAGGAAATTGCCGCTGACATTGCAAGGCATTTCATTGGCGAACAACATGGCAATCAAGAAGCCAAGCTATTAACCAAGCATTATAGTCTCCTCAACCCTTCATCCTTTCATCACAACGCCATCCCTGAGGCGTCAAGTCGTCGTAAACCCGTGACGTCTTCTAGCCAGTCACGATCCATCTACCACCAAGTTGACCTCAAAACTAGCGTCCGCCAAGCTCATCTGCCGCTGCCGGTAGTGATAAGCCGGTAATGCACTAGTGAGGTTCTATGCAACGATCTGTTGACTTGATGCAGTTAGAAGTTGGCTGAGGCTAGGCTGAGCTGTGGCTTAAGCCAACTGGGGCTGCCATATCTTGGTTCCGTCGTTTCGGGCTCGGTTTCGGGGTCGCTTTCGGCGCCCCTTTCGACCGCCGACGCCGGGGTTCTTCACGGAGGTCAGTCGCGCCGTCCCCAACGACAACATCGGTGCCCCGTGTCGCCGTTCCGAATATAGCACATGTTATGCTCCGCCCTCCCTCAACCTATATCTAGAGAGATTGACACACACTTTCTCTTCTTACCCGACATTATCAGCAATCACCATTACGAGCCATAGATACGGCCGAGGCATATACGATGGCAAAGACATCCTGCTCACAATCCAAACCCAGTTTAGATCATTTCGACACTTACTCACCTCCCAGTCGACATGCTCAGGGCACATCACGATGAACGTTTTCCAAATACAAAAATGTGCGGGGAGATCGGACCTTCGGGCCAGGTGCTGACGGAGCCCTGACAATGGTATCATTGCCATCTACAGATTCGGCCCAGTTCGTCCTGGTGCATTCCTAATACGTCCGAGATGGTCCCATAGCAAAGGAACTCTCGGCCTCCGCCGATAGTTTATCGCGCTCACATATCTGTTGTCCTCTTGGCTGGTATACGAAGACGCCCCTGATCTAGTGTTCGGCCTAAAAGGGAATTGTGAGGGTTTAGTGCAGGTCGGCGGACACGGAACTCCGATCCTCTGCACTGAGTACATGGCATGGGTCGAATTCAGGGACCTCGTGTCAACTTTAGCTGTTCATTCTAGACCGCTGGTTACAGGAGGACCTGCGGTTTCAGACGAATCTGCAATGACATTCAGGACGAAAGAAAAAGTATCAGGTTGACAGCATCTGCGGGTATCTCCTCGACCACGCTACTCGACCACGAGACCAAACCCGGACTTGCGGAGCCTCATGTCGTTACTTGCATGCTGGTGTATATTTAGTTAATCCGGCTGCATTTGCTTCTGAATGCGGACATAACCTAACGCACGTAACGTCTCTCTGGACGACATGTCCTTCCAGTAGGCCCAAGATCTGCCACGTGAGCTCTCAGATCTCGATCCCGAGCCGCCGGGTAAGCAATATTCTAATCCTCGCTCCCAATCAAAGCCCCGTAAGCCTCAAGGACATCATACTACGTCACATCGGACAATGGCGGCTGACTGTGCGCCTCCCCCAGATCACACGATCCCCTATTCCATTGCTACGGGCACTAAAACGATACGGGCCATGTAAGGCGAACCCCGGTTTTTCATCGTCACGTATGCGATATTGAGCTTACCTGAAGCTGAGAAATTCGAGGCCAATGCTTGGAGAGAGGATAATGTCATGTTAGAATCACGACATCTTTTTCTCTATTCCAAATCTCACGGACTACAAGTCTTGGCATCGCAAGACAACAACAGTAAGCAACACGAAAACCACATCGGAATTCCGCATAAAATATTTCCGATTCTGTCTTCAGCCTTGCTTTGACAGCAATGATGAATTTGGAATTCTGGGAAAACCAACCCGGCTACCACCATTCATCTCAATTTAGACCAGTGCCCCATATCTTTGGGATATCTACACCCTCATCTTCAACAACCGTAATGCAAGCAAATGGGCCTGAACAGCTCGGAATTCCACTCTAGGTTTTTTTTTCCTAAGCTATACCTCCACCCCGCAAGGTCCATAGCCTATAGCCCACCTGCCGCGGGGGCAAAAAGACCAAGAAGAGGAAAAAGTTTGCATGCAGGACAAAACTACGTGTGCCGAAAGTAGTCAAAAGCGTTGCTAGCTCGTCTGGCTTCCGGGAATGTCCTCCCACTCACCCGTTAGGGCTGTCAAGGGGTGGTAAAATAAAGCGCCCCCAACAACTGCGGAACACCGCGTCACCCAAACTGTTTAGGTTGCCCACAACCCTTGGATGACGACGACGATGTCTTTCGACCGCGTGTTCGTCCATTTCCATCCGGAACAGTCCTCAACCCTCACAACCCATCTAGTGAGAATTGTGGGACCAATGCCTTCACAACCCCTTCTCCCCCTCCCCCCTTTCCAGCCCATTGAGGCTAGCCCAGCCATGTGAACTACGCTCGAAGGAACTCCCTATCGGAGATTATTTAGTAGTCCTATACTGGGCAGAAATAACCCTCTGTAGGGCATAACAGGGCGAGAGCACTGCCTAGTGGCTAAGGGGGCGTGTGAATTTTTCCATGATCCTCAACCCCTCCCACCAGCAGGGCAAATATGCCTCTTGTTTCCTGGGATCAAGCCCTCAGTACTGTAGCATCACCCGAAATGTCGCAATACCGCCTGAACTTTCCATTGTCATGTATTCAGGACTCCCTGATGACAACAAGATCGAAGCCAGCCCTGGCATCTATTAGGGCAAGATTTGCACCCTGGTTCGAGGATACCCCAAGCTGAAGAGTGAAGATTGCAGATAGGTTACGACCATGTTCATCCGCAGTGATGTTCGCACTAAGAAGAGAAACCACTGCTTTAAACCTTTACTACATCCGAGACGTTTTTCGTCCCTCATATTGTAGATCAGATGTCACAACGCGCCTCATCCAATGGCGGCTCCTCTTTTCCCCGTCGGAAGCGCCTCCGATTTTTCTCTCCAGACAGATCCTCCAAGGATTCACCTTTGGTATATCAATATCATTAATAGACCTCAAGATCTACATCTCCAGGGGAAAGGACGCCTCCACACTGCCCATCCGTCCAAACTCAAAAAATCGGCCTCGGCGAATTGTTGGCCGTGCAAGTGCCAACTGTCTGTCGCAGGCGCAGTCAGGGCTGTCGACGTCACTGGAGAGCATTACTCGATCGTCGGGCCCCGAAACACGAACGGTACATGCATGACCTCGTGGCAAGATGAGATAACGACAATCTTTTCCTAAATCGACTGGAATCACGATGAGACGACTTTGACGCCTGACTAAGTGACGGCCGCAACAGCTTTGACAAAAGCAACACGTTGAAAATAGTAACAAAAAAACCCTGAGTATACCAAAAATCTAGTACAAGAGAGTTTCCTCTGTGAGAATTCAAAGGCAACTATCCAAGTGACAACGGATTATCGCGTATGCACGAGCCTACCATTAATTAATACGACTCTGTGTTTTAATATCACTCGGTTAATGCCGAAATATTAAATATCCAAAGAGAGAAAAACAAGAAACTTTTCTGTCCCGTCCAAGGGAGTCAGGTATAATAGCCAGGCCCATTTTACTGCAGAATACCCAGGCGCCTTATCCCCAGTAGTCCTCCACTCTCACTCCACTCCCCCCTTTCTCAACAACGATTCGCGTTGTTTCCCGAGCCGATCGCAATGACGACACTTTTGCTGTTGTGTTTTGGTTCCACCGTAACCAAAGTTGTCCCCCCCCCCCCCCCCCCCCCCTCCATTCTGTCCCCCAATTTCCACACAGATGCTGTGTGTGTCTGGGCGATAATCTCTTACGGAATGAATTCCGACCCCCCCCTTGAGGTATCCGGATCCTCTAATATGGGCTTAGTCGCCCAGAAGGCCAGGTTTTTAATTGCTAGCCCTGCTGGGTTGCCCGAGAACGCATGTGTCCACAGCCTTAATCAAAGTGACAAGTCTGGGGATGGCTTCCCTATACGGCAGAGTTGGGAGGAACCGGACAAACGATTCACGGCACTTTCGAGAGCGGGACCCGGGAGGACTCAGACTATACCACGTAGACGAACCGAACTGCTGCATAGGAAAGCAACGTTGCTTGCCCCTCAGAGCGAGAACTCGTAGATGGACGTGTCCGCCATAGCTACACGCCCCCCTTCACGACTCATACAACGGGGAGCAGTAATAGTTGCTTGTATCAACGGATTCACCCATTAAGACTCCATGTCGTATCGTCAATAGAAAA